AGCAACTAAACAGGTGGCAGAGAGCACTAGAGTCCTTGTGTATGCCAGTCTCCCGTAACACAGCCCTGAGTCTTGGTGGGCGTCTAGAATGGTATAGCCATTATGAAAAACAGTATGCAGGTTGCTCTAAAAATTAAAACCTGAACTACTGTACAATCCAGCAGTTCTGTGTCTGCGTTTTTTCCCCTCTGGAAAAATCCCACCAGATCAGAAAGGTATATGCACCCTGTGTTCATTTCAGCATTGATTACTATAGGGAAGATATAGAAGCAACCTAAGTGTCTATCAATAGATGAATGGATAAAGATTTGGTTTATGCACTCAGCCATAAAAAGAAATGAAATCCTGTTGTTTGTGAAAACATGAATGGACCTAGAAGGTATTAATGCTAAGTGAAGTCACTCAGAGAAAGACAGATATGATTTCAATTACATGTGGAATCTAGAAAACAAATGGATAGAACATAATAAAGCAAACAGTCTCACAGATACAGAGAATAAACAAGTGCTATTGCCAGAGGGGAGGAATATAGAGGGTGGCAGGATAAATGAAATAGGTAAGGAAAATTAAGAGGTATAAACTTACAGTTAAAAAATGAGTGAGTCATGGGGATAAAATATATAGCATAGGTAATATAGTCAGTAATATTGTAATAACTTTGCATGGTGACAGATGGTAACAAGACTTATTGTGATCATTTTGTAATATATAGATATATTGAATCACTATATTGTGCACCTAGAACTAACATAGTGTTGCAAGTTGGTTTTACTTAAATTTAAAAATTTAAAAAAGGGGAAGAAAGTAAGGGTACCAGTCAGTGAAACATGTAATGAGTAAAAATGGCATTGCAGGTAGAGAGAGAATCATTAGTAAGTTAATAATTATGAAGTTAGATGAAGTGAGTAAATGGCTGGAAAAATTGTAACTTACAGCTGACTTAAAAAGAAGTAGAAAGCTTGCATACTCCTGGTTAAAGTAATGGTAGATCTAGGTTTTAAAAAAAAGAAAGAAAAGCATCTTATCATAAGGAAAATAAATGACCACATGGTTTTACTGACAGTTTCTCTCTAACTTTAAATAAATAAGTCCCAAATTTAATCAGATTTCTAAGCAGTAGAAATTTGAAATGGTCCCCTATTCATTCTGTAAGCCTAGTATAAACTTGATGTTAAAAGCCAGAAAAATAACAAAAAAAGGAAAATTAGGTTTATTTCACCCATGGATATACACACAGAAATTATAAAATATATTAGCAAGTAAAATTTGACCATGTATGAAAAGGTAATATGTCATGACTAAGATAGATTCATGATAGGTAGTAAAGCAGATTTTTAAAAAATCCACAAGTATAGTATACCATTGTAACATCATAAAATGAAACAGCTCAGTAGATATATGAAAAGCATTTGATAAAACTCGAAACCAGTTCATTAAGGAAAATATTTCAGGCAGTTAGATTAGAAGGAATTTCCAATTGAGAATTTAAAAAACTATAGCAGACATCATGCTGAATGAGATATTTTAGTAATATTCTTTTTAAATTAAAAATGAAGTAAGATGACAATTATTATTACTATTTGTTATTGATGGTCCTAACCAGTATAGCAAGAAAATAAAGTCTTAAGAACTAGAAAGGAAAAAATAAAATTGTAGTAATTTGTCATTTACATGGAAAACCCAAAGAATCTATGGGCAAAATATTTTACAAATTAAATGTAAGAATTAATTGTTTGCTTGGCCATAAAGTTTCAACAACTTTCATAGATTCAGATTACACAGATATGTTTTCTGATCACAGTGGAATTAAGCCAGGTATCAGTAATAAATGATAATAAGAAAATTTCCAAATGTTTGATATTTAAGCAATATTCTTCTAAGTGAAAGAAGGAAAAACTCACAGAAAATGTTTTGAGCTGAATGATAATGAAAATGTCATTTATGAAAAAATATGAGCTTCCTGTACTTACAGGGAAATTTATAGGCTTAAATGCATTTCTTGGAAAAGAAAAGACTGAAAGCAAAACATCAAAGATCTAAATATTCATTTGAAGAAGTTAGAATTGTAACAGTTAAACCCCAATAAAGTAGAAGGAAGGAAGGAAACTCTATAGGCCTGTTTTAGAGGATTCTAAAGTAACTTTGAAGTTCAAAGTGCTCCGCCCTTGCCCCCCCCCACCCCCCAATGTCTCTCTGTAGCTCTTAGTTATGCTGCTCTTCCTCTTAGAAGATCTGGTTCTTTCTAGCTCAGTGTCCTGAAACTACCCACCATCCAGAAGAATGCCTTTTATGCCTACTGAGTAGACAACATGAATAGGTGAACAGAAGTGTCTAAAGGTCCTTTTAGGTCCATACCGTTTTTGTCCTTTATCATACCCATCCTTGCATGAAATGCTCCCTTGATATCGCCAACTTTCTTGAAGTGATCTCTAGTCTTCCCCATTCTATTGTTTTCCTCCATTTCTTTACATTAGTCAATTTTAGAAGGCCTTCTTATCACTCCTTCCTATTCTCTGGGACTCTGCATTCAGTTGGGTATAATTTTCTTTTTCTCGGTGGTTTCACTTCTCTTTTTTCCTCAGCTATTTGTAAATCCTCCTCACACAGCCACTTTGCCTTCTTGTGTTTCTTTTCCTTTGCGATGGTTTTGATCATTGCCTTCTGCACAGTGTTATGAACCTCCATCCACAGTTCTTCAGGCACTCTGTCTAACAGATCTAATCCCTTGAATCTATTCCTCACTTCCACTGTGTAATCATAAGGGATTTGATTTAGATCATACCTGAATGGCTTACTGATTTTTCATACTTTTCTTCTTCTTTTTTTTTTTTTTTTCCATTTATTTTTATTAGTGGGAGGCTAATTACTTTACAACATTGCAGTGGTTTTTGTCATACATTGAAATGGATTAGCCATGGATTTACATGTATTCCCCATCCGGGTCCCCCCTCCCACTTCCCTCTCCACCTGATCCCTCTGGGTCTTCCCAGTGCACCAGGCCCGAGCACTTGTCTCATGCATCCAACCTGGGCTGGTGATCTGTTTCGCCCTAGATAATATACATGTTTCGATGCTGTTCTCTTGAAACATCCCACCCTCGCCTTCTCCCACAGAGTCCACAAGTCTGTTCTATACATCTGAGTCTCTTTTTCTGTTTTGCATATAGGATTATCGTTACCATCTTTCTAAATTCCATATATATGTGTTAGTATACTGTAATGGTCTTTATCTTTCTGGCTTACTTCACTCTGTATAATGGGCTCCAGTTTCATCCATCTCATTAGAACTGATTCAAATGAATTCTTTTTAATGGCTGAGTAATATTCCATGGTGTATATGTACCACAGCTTCCTCATCCATTCGTCTGCTGATGGGCATCTAGGTTGCTTCCATGTCCTGGCTATTATAAACAGTGCTGCGATGAACATTGGGGTGCACGTGTCTCTTTCATATCTGGTTTCCTCGGTGTGTATACCCAGGAGTGGGATTGCTGGGTCATATGGCAGTTCTATTTCCAGCTTTTTAAGAAATCTCCACACTGTTCTCCATAGTGGCTATACTAATTTACATTCCCACCAACAGTGTAAGAGGGTTCCCTTTTCTCCGGAGGCACCCTCTCCAGCATTTATTGCTTGTAGAGTTTTGGATAGCAGCCATCCTGACTGGCGTGTAATGGTACCTCATTGTGGTTTTGATTTGCATTTCTCTGATAATGAGTGATGTTGAGCATCTTTTCATGTGTGTGTTAGCCATCTGTATGTCTTCCTTGGAGAAATGTCTGTTTAGTTCTTTGGCCCATTTTTTGATTGGGTCATTTATTTTTCTGGAGTTGAGCTGGAGGAGTTGCTTGTATATTTTTGAGATTAATCCTTTGTCTGTTGCTTCGTTTGCTATTATTTTCTCTCAATCTGAGGGCTGTCTTTTCACCTTGCTTATAGTTTCCTTTGTTGTGCAAAAGCTTTTAAGTTTCATTAGGTCCCATTTGTTTATTTTTGCTTTTGTTTCTAAAATTCTGGGATGTGGGTCATAGAGGATCCTGCTGTGATTTATGTCAGAGAGTGTTTTGCCTATGTTCTCCTCTAGGAGCATACTTTTCTTCAATTTGAGCCTGAATTTTGCAAAGGAGCTAATGGAATGAGCCACAGTCAGCTCCAGGTCTTGTTTTTGCTGTCTGTATAGAGCTTCTCTCTTCAGCTGCAAAGAACATAATCACTCTGATTTTAATGTTGACCACTTGGTGATGTCCACATGTAGAGTCGTCTCTTCTGTTGTTGAAAAAGGATGTTTGCTATGACCAGCGTGTTCTTTTGACAAAACTCTATTAGCCTTTGCTGTGCTTTATTTTGCATTCCAAGGCCACACTTGCCTTTATTCTAGGTGTCTCTTCCTGCTTTTGCATTCCAAACCCCTATGATGAAAAGGACAGCTGCTTTTGGTATTAGTTCTAGAAGGTATTGGAGGTCTTCATAGACTTGGTCAACTTTAGCTTCTTCAGCATCAGTGGTTGAGGCATAGACTTGGATTACTATGATGTTGAATGATTTGCCTTGGAAATGAACTGAGATTATTCTGTTGTTTTTGAGATTGCACCCAAGTACTGTCCCCCCTGGTGGCTCAGATAGTAAAGCATCTGCCTGCAATGTGGGATACCTGGGTTCAATCCCTGGGTTGGAAAGATCCCCTGGAGAAGGAAATGGCAACCCATTCCAGTACTCTTGCCTGGGAAATTACATGGACTGAGGAGCCTGGTAGGCTACAGTCTATGGGGTCACGAAGAGTTGGACACGACTGAGCGACTTCACTTCACTGCATTTCAGACTCTTGTTGACTATGAGGGCTCCTTGTATACTTGAGTTTTTTTGTTTAAAATTGTTGCATCTCTTAGAAATAAATACATTACCACATTAAATCTATATAAATTCTTTGGAAAGATTTGTAAAAGATAAAGTGATTAGGAAAAGAAATGTAAACTTTTAATGGTATTGATGACTGTTGTTTAGGAAGCAGTACTGCTGGAGCACCCTTTCAGTGCTGTGAGACAAGAACAGCAGAGAAAATGGATTGAAGAGTTGAACAAGCAAATAGAAGATGACCGGCAAAAAAAAGCAGAGGAGAAAATTATATCCTCAATGGTAATTTATAAAGTTTCATTGAGGATACAGGAAAAAAAAATTAAACATCTTTAATCATAAACTTAAAAGTATCCTAAAACTGCATGACAAGATTAGAATATTTAAATTATTCCACATTTGCTCTTGTGAACCTTTTTTGAATGAAGTTAGTAAGTGCGATTTCTTGTAACTTGTTAGACATTTCCTAATTCTTTGATTTTTTCATATTCTCTAAGCTTAGCTATCTCAATGTATGTGGAATCAATACAGAATGCAGTTTTGTTAATTTTCATGATGCTTGTTTTGCTGTGTGGTGACTTTTAGAAATTTTGTTATTTGTCATTTGGGATTTTAAATGTAAGAAGAGTTACTAAAGTTGTTAGCAATTCTCATTTGTCGTGACTAGGGTGAGGAACATGACAGATGGGCGGTGCATTTTGATTCCTTAAAGAACTGTCCTGGTTCTCAGTCTCGACTGTCGTCCCGGTCAGTGCAGAAACAACCGGAGTACTTGTGTGTCTCTCCGGACACGCAGGAGCTGGCTGATCTCAGCAGTCTTTCTACACCTACCGTCGGAAGCCAGATTGAACCTGCAGAGGAGGAACATACAGTGAAGCCTGTTAGAGATATGGCTGTGGCAAACATTCAGAAAACAAAGTAAGTTCAGTCTTCAGTATTTATTGATGTTTAAGAAAGTCTATGTGCTTTCTTTTAGGGCTGTTGTTTGTTTATATCTTAACTGTTTTCAGTTTCCTATTTTTATTTATAGTAGAAATGACTCGGTAGAGCTCCCTTGCCTTCCCACTTGGATCTCTTTCAAGTATCCTATATTAATATATCTCTTGCCTATCAAAAAACAAAAGTAGAAATGATGTACTTCAAACAAAAATAAGTTAGTACTTTGTTAAACCTACCTTTGTGGGTTTTAAGTAGCTAATATATCTATCTTGCCAGCTTTCTCCGTTCTATGACTGCTCTTTTGGACCCAGCTCAGATTGAGGAACGAGACAGGAGGCGACAAAAGCAGTTAGAACATCAGGTATTGCATTGTAAAATGTTGTTCTTTGCCTTAATAGTTAGTAGTCATGGCCTACATACCTAAGTGAATGGAAACTAAATTTTGGTATAACTTTACAGCACAAGCTTTGCACAATCCTGTGATTACATCTAATCCCTACACCAACTGGCATTATATTAGAATTATACTCATGTTGAGAATTAGATAGTATCACATATTACAGTCACCTGCCTTCCAAGAGAGAAGGTCTTTAATGTATAGGTTGTGTATCTGAAATGATACTGAATCTGTTTAAGTTAGTATTAAGTTGGGTTATTTTTTTTTCCCCCTTCAGGTCTTCTGAATTCTGTTCAGCGTGAGAATTAGGTCTTTGAAAGGGGAAAATATATATAAAGGATTGAGATAAAATTATGATTAAGAAATTTAGCAGATAATATAAGAAAGGAAACTAAGATTAAAATTCTACCCTAATTTTAGTCTAATACCAAAGGGACTTGAATGTCTAATAAGTCTTTAAAACGTCTACTGTGTGAAGAATTTGGCTTAGTTCATGTAGTTAACAATTAAGTGAAGCAGACATTTATAGAGCATCTGCTATTTTTACCAGGCACTATGTTAAACACTTGAGATTCTTCCCTCAGTTGGTTTCTCTTAGTTCTTCTAAGAGCCCTCCTGGGGTTAAAGAAAAGGCATGTAGAACTTGACAGGTGGGAGATGGGAAAAACCTGACTTTCTAATTTAACTTGACGTTCTAACTTAACTCATGTATATACTGCCTTCTCTGTATTGATGAACATTTTGAGACACCAGAAAAATGCTGTGTGAATTTTTAAGATTTATGACAGTGATTTATGTTGCTGTTTATGAGTAGAAAGCCATCACTGCTCAGGTAGAAGAGAAGCGCAAGAAGAAGCAGCTCGAAGAAGAGCAGAGAAGGAAGGAGGAACAGGAGGAGGAGCGTCGCCTCGCCCGGGAACGAGAAGAGATGCAGAAACAGTATGAGGAAGACATACTTAAGCAAAAACAAAAGGAAGTAGGTTATTTGTATCCTAACTGTGACATTTTAAAGTAAAAGTGGGTTTGTTTTTAAAGAAAAAATAACCAGAATATTTGCATGTATTTTGAAATGGTGAAGCTGTATGCAGAAACATTAAAGCTTTGTGTAAAGTTTCGTAAGTAGAAAGAAAGCTGGAGCTTTTATTTTTTCAAAAGATTTTTTCACAGATGCTATTTTTTTTCTGCTCTGAGGAGAGAGGAGGTCAAGATGAGTTATTACAGCATAAAACAAAAATTTTCCATATGCTTAATTTTGAAGTGTTTCCTAAGCAATGATTATTAATAAATTTCTAGATATGTTAAGAGAAATGATTGGGCTTTCTGTCTATTCATTTGTGAACAGGAGCATTTACTTGCAGAATGACTGGCTGGGATTGATGATAGAGTCTGTTGCTATGTTAGAGGATTCCTCTGTGCTAATTAAAAATCTGTTAAAAAGAGTAGGAGAACCTCTATAGCAAGTGGTACAGACTGCATAGGTATGGTGATATCAAGTGCTGTGTTTGAGTGGGCCTGACAAACAGCAGGTTATACAGTGACGTTCAATTGCCAAAGGTTCATGAGATTTACAGAATAGATCATACAGCACTTGCCCTGGAGCTGGGAGGTGGCGTGGTGGTGTCGAGAGCTTGCCTTTTCTTGCCAATTCCCACTTGCAACCTTTGCTTCAGAATTAGCTGATGAAGGTACAAATGGTTTAGGTTCTGATTTGGATACATAGAATATGCTGAGCCAACTACATCTATGAAATAACTACTACATGAAAAAAAAAGGTTATTTGCTTGAATTGTAAAAAATGACTATAAATCTTGAGTATTAGTTCTTAATTATCTAGTGGGTTGCCAAAAAGTTTGTGATTTTTCGTAACATGAAGAAACTCAAATAAACTTTCTGGCTTCTCCAGTTTTCTTTTACTTTAATAAAATTATGGAGTTGACCTTTGGTTTTAGAAGCTTTGGAAACTTTATTAGCATAATCTTGAGTGGGTGAAAGAGTTTTTGTGTTTGTAGTCTAATACAGCTGTAGAAAAAGATACTAAAATATGAGCTCCAAAAAGGAATGAACTTTGTTCTGTTGGCTGCTCTTCCCAGTTTCTTGAATAGTGCCTGGCATATAGTAGGAACTTAGAAAATTATTAATTGTTACTGAGAGAGAATAGTCACGTCTGTACATGTTTGATAATTGTATTTAATAACTTTGTACACTTCAACATTGATAGGAAATGATGACTCTACAGACGAATAAGCTGTTCCAGACGATGCAGAGAGCGCAAGAGCTGGCACAGAGACTGAAACAAGAACAGAGAATCCGAGAATTGGCTCAAAAGGGACATGACACTTCTAGATTGATTCAAAATCTTGGCAGTAAGCACAACTAGAATTTTATGTATAAGTGTAGTATTTTTTGAAGATTGAGAATAATTGCCTCTTTTTAATACCTTTAAACACTTGTTAACTAAATACTTTTTAAGGAGTTTCAGACTTTGAACTAATGTAATTTTATAATGCTTACTTGGGAAATTGCGTTAAGAGGAGAAGTAAATAATGCTGTACTTTTCAGTATCTTTTCACATACATTTTCTTAACATTTCCCTCACAATAGGTAAAATGTATACTTTTGTACCCATTTGTACAGAGCTGTCCATTAAGTAAGGGATAAAAATGCTGATAACTTTTTATGAGAAACTTTAGGTTAGCCCTTCTAAATTTTTATTGCAGTGTTTACACTACTGGATTAATTTGAAAGTCTTATGTGTATTTACTTGCTGCTATCATTTTATCAGATAACTTATTTCTCTTGCCAGTTGATACCATACAAGTGGAATATAATGCATCTACTAACAATACTGCAAACTCAAGACATGGCTTGGATAAAGTGAGTGGTAAAATGAATACATATATCAACTCTACAACTTCTCCCAGGAAGGACACTGGTGTGCAGACAGGTATTGGTTGATAAATTGTGATTTGGCTTAAAATTTACTTAAAATCACAATTGAAATTAAGTTAAATTAATTTAAAGTTTAAAATTTAAAGGAATTTAAGGTTTTCAAGTAAGAGTTAGAAAATGAAGGTATCTCTTGGTTTTTAATTTCGCTATAGCAGCTTTATAAAGATATAATTTACATAGCATTAAATTAACCCATTTAAAGGATACAGTTCAGTGTTTTTTAAAGGATACAATTCAGTTTTTATATTCAGAGTTGTACAGCCACCACCATAGTTATTTTTTATACATTTTTACCACTCCAGAAAGAAACCCTGTACCCATCAACAGTCCTTCTCCATTTCCTCCTTCCTCTCTATTCCTGGGCAACCACCAGACTACTTTCTGTCTCTCTAGATTTGTCTATTCTGGACATTCCATATGATTGAAATCTTTTCTGTCTGGATTCTTTCACTTAGCATGTTTTAAGGTTCATCTGTATTGTAACATATGACAGTAAGTGCTTCGTTCTTTTTATCACTGAACAGTTCTCCATTTTATGCATATACCACCATATTTTGTTTTTATTCCTTCATCAGTTGACATTTGCTTCCACTTTTTGGCTATTAGAAATGCGCTGCTGTGAGCCTTATTGTACAAATTTTTGTGTAGACATAAATTTTTGGTCTCTTGGGGGAAAAGAGTAGCATTGCAAAGTCATAGAGTAACTGTATGTTTAAGGTTTTGAAGAATTACTAAACTATCTTCCAAAGCAACCATACCATTTTACATTTCCACCAGTGACGTATGAAGGTTCCGATTTCTTTATATCCTCGCTTGTACTAATTCTCTTGGTTGTGAAGTGCTCTCTCATCATGACTGCTGACATTAAGCATCTTTTCCTGTGCTGCTTTTAAATTTTTACATAAGTAATTAAGTAATACTCATGTTGGGTGTCATTTTCATAGGCTTACTAGGAATCCTTTCGGCTCTCCTCCTATATGTCCAGGAAATTTCTTTTTTAAAGTACTTTAAAAAAAATAACTTCCAGTAACTTTTTATCTTGTTCTAAAATGTAGAATTGAGATATAACTGACACATAACATTAGTTTCGGGTGTATACCATAATGTTTATACTGTCAGTAGCACAGACTGGGGCTCCAAACAAGTGTAAAGCTCTTTTCTGGGCAATAGCAGCAGGCTGTAGTGAGGCAGAGGTAGCTGTGAGATGGGTCGCTGGGAGAAACTCAGCAGGACTCTGGGCGAGTGCAGACCTGAGGCCTGCCCCTAGACCGTTCTCATGCAAGGGTGAGAGTGTGTGTGTTTCAGTTTTGTTTGTCCAGTGCTCTGTGGTCAGTAACCTGCCAGTAATCGTCTCTTCAGTTATTTTAGTCTCATGAGACCTGGAACACAAGCCCCATTGGTTACAGTCCTGTGGAAACTGCAAGCAGAAGCCCTTGGCCAGGAGAACAAGGTGTTGTAGAGGTGTCCCCTGGTGGCACCTGCAGAACTTGGGACACCCATCCAAGAGTATAAACTTTTTGGGAAACACTGCCTTGCTGGCATAAGGCAGAGGTAAAATGTAAAGATTTTATCTAACGACCTCCTTTCCCTGAGAGCTTGTCCATAGGCCCCTCGATGTGTGCCAAACTCAAGCCTTTCCTTCAGGCTGAACCTTTTGGAAAAGCAAATAGGAATCTTTTTCAGAAAGACTGAGGGTTTGTTTCAGCCTGCTGTTTATGCAGTGTCCTTGGGGTTGATACCCTGTCAAGAGCTATTTCTCTGATTGCTACAGTTTCATGGGACCCTGGCCTCCAGAGCCAGTCTGTCAGGGGGCAGCCACTGGGCAACAGGTGCAGAAACCAGGGCCGCAGGTGCTCGCAGAAGTTCCCTGCCAGGAGATACTGGCTCTCTGACCTGGGGTCAAGGGAGAGGGTGAAGATGGCATGCACCAGCTAGGACAAGAGGGAGGGAGAGTGCTGAGATGCCCCCATCACTCCCCTTGAAGCTTGGGAGTGTGATAGGGCAGGGGCGGCAAGGTGGAAATAACAGGTCTAGTGGTGGTGTTTTTTAATTAAAAGGTGATGCCCACCAGCCTCTTTCCACACTCTCACTGTGAGAGTATTCCAGCAAGCCCGCAGATGTGTTAAGTTACATGCCTACCCCTTGGGCCAACGCTTCAACTGATTTTTTTTTTTTAACCTAATTTTAAATGAGCTTCCTTCATACCTGCGTGTTATCGGCTGCCTCTGCCCTGGGCCCAGGGGTAGGTGACCCTTGAGGAGCTGTTTCTCCCTTCTGCTTTAGCTTTGAGTCTAGTTTTGGTTTTCATGTTAGATGTTTTGGGGCATTATCTATTCTGTGCAGATCTTAAAAGTGGGGGTGCTCAATGTGGGGTTCAGACCCTTTGTTCCTTGGAGGAAAGCTCTTGAGTTTTGAGTTCCCTCCCAGTTGTGGGTTGTAGCACATGGGAAGGGTTTATAGCTTGATTGTAGCTCAGCCTCTCTCACCTGCTTTGATGGTGGGGCTTTCTCACTTGCCCAGTGTGTAGGGGTCGCCTAGCCAGTTTTGTAGGTTTTTTTGTTTTCTTTTAGGAGGAAATTGTTCCATATGTATGTGTAGGTTCAGTGTGTCCATTGGAGGTGAGTTCAGTATCTTCATAGGTCACCACCTTGAACTAGAGCCCTTCACTTTTTAAATGAATTACCAGTGGACCCTGCTATCAGTTATTTGTGGTCTCGGTAACTTAGACAAAAAACAGCTTGGCTTGCCATTAAGTAGGGGATAATATTCCTCTGGAAATAGGAGTTGGCTGGTACTGTCTTACAGAAATCCATTCTCTACATAACCCTATTTTCTGCCAGTTAATCTTAGATCTTACTTCAGTATAACACGAGATTACCCACATCCTATAACAGGAAAGTAGAAGGGAATTTGAAAAAGGAAGAGAGGGTTAAAGCAGCCTGCTTAGTTATCTGAAATCATTCTGCTCATGAGCCCTTGGTATTTTTTTTATAGTTAGCTCTTAGTGTGAAGAATCTGGTTTGGTCCCTTCTCTTTGTCCAGAGTAATAACAAAGTTATATAAATCCTACACATCAATTAAAGTCAAACTAAGTTTTTAAGACCGTGAAATTATGTATATTATCACTGGGTGACTCTGAGGGAATGTAACCCATCAGGGTTCTCAAATATCAGTAATTAAAGATGACTTATTTAGAAAGGGATTCTTTTCAAGGGAGTGGATGTGAGGGAATACAACAGTAATGCTTTGACTGGTGCCAGTAGCAACTGGAGTGTTATTGGAATCTAGAAGACAAGTGTTGGATAGAGGTAACTTTGAGGGGAACTGTGACCTTTGGGAAAGGTAGTCATCCTGAGGTTAGCTCATAGGGACTGAGACAGTGGAATAAATACCCTGAATTCAGTCTTTTCCCTTCCTGTAATCTGCATATGAACACTCTTGATAAAATCAGAAGCCCAAGGATCCAGAAAACCACTGATAAGATTCTTACCAATCGCCCTGAGAGCAGAGGAGAGAAGGGTAAATGGGTCTAAAGTGGCAAACGATACCCAGTAGGAAAGTGATGTGGGCTGGGCAGCCTTACTGGTAGGAATTAGTCCTGGGCAGCTCTAGCCTGGAATAACACAGTTAGCTTAGTAAGTGGACTTTTTTTTTTTTTTTCTAATGGGAAATCCAGACCTCCTTTGCTTAGCTACTTGTGAATTTAAAATTTCAATCACATGTGGAAATATAGCCTTTGTGAGTTTGAGGCTACCCGCTGTTGTGACAGTAGATCATAAGTTGTAGGGAATCTCAGATGCCTTTTTTCCCAGTGGTGAACTTCTCTTGTTTTCAAAACGGGAAAAGTGAAAGGTTATATGCATTCAGGGATAGTCTGCTGGCACAGCATGATGGTACATGAGACAGTCAAAAAATACATGAAATGCACTATCAGTAGCAATCAACATTTCCCTAAAAATTATAATCTTGCATTTCTAAGTGAAAACCAGGATAATTCTGTTCGGAAGTTTGGTGTAAAAAATGATCTCTATTATGTGATGCTAAGAATGAATCATCTGAGATTCTGATACGTGCTATAGCTTGAATGACCCTTGAAGGCCTTATGCTGAGTGAAATAAGCTGGAGTTGAGGGGAGGGGGCAGTTGTGCAGGGAGGCACAAATATTGGTACAAGGAATCGAGGGTTGAAGTAGAGTGGCGGTTGCTGGGGTTTGGGACGGGGGTGGAACGGGGAGTTACTGCAGTGGGCGCAGGGTGTCTGCGGGAGCTGCTGGTAGGTCTGGACTTGTGTGGCTGCATCAGTGTGCTCAATACCACTGAACTGTGCACTTAAAAAGGGTTTAATGAAAGATTCAGGGAAATCAGAACACTTGTGCCTTATTGGTGGGAATGTAAAATGGTGCAGCCGCTATGGCAGACTGCAGCACTGCCTCAGAAAATCTAAGAGACAGTTACGGTATGGTGCAGCAGCCCCGCTTACGGGGGTATACCCAAAGCAACCACAAAAAGGGAGGTCTTGAGTAGCCAGAGGCAGCGGCAGGGCAGCACAGGTGTCCCCTGACAGATGAATGAATAAAAGTGTGGTATACACACAATGGAATGTTATGGGGTGTGTGTCTACAGACACACACACAATGGCGTATTACTCACACTGACAAAAGGGAGGAAATTCTGACATATGTTACAGCTTGGGTGATCCTTGAGGACATTATGCTAACTGAAACAAGTCACAAAAAGACAAATACCTTAGATTCTACTTGTGTTTATAGTGGTCAAAATCATACAAGGTAGGAAGGTGGTTGCCACCAGGTGGCAGGAAGGGGGAAGGAGTTGTTTAGTGGGTATAGAGGTTTTTTTTTATTGGAATATGATTGCTTCACAATGTTGCATTAGTCTCTGCTGAACAACGAGGTGAAGGGGCCATATGCATGTAGGTATCTCCTCCCTCTTAAGCCTCCTTCCCACCTCCCCCATCCCACTCCTCTGGGTCAATACAGAACACTGAGCTGAACTCCCTGCTTTACAACTTCAGAATTTATTTTCAAAACAGAGTTTTTGAGGGCAATTTTAATACCTCGGAAAAATGGTTAAGATGGGTAAGTTTTGTATTATGTATATTTTACCCCAATTTGAAGAAAAATTAATCACCTGAAACTTTTTTTTAGATGACTTAAATATAGGAGTATTTACCAATACAGAATCACACTGTGGATCGATAGCAGAGAGGGAAATTATAAATTGTTCATCTCCTGAGATTGCTGCAGAATTTAATGAAGAGTTTAACACTAAGAATAACAAGCAAGAACTAGTAAATCAGATTAAAGGAGCCAACTTAGAAAAAGAAAACAGTTGGTATAATGACCAGTGTAATCAGATCACAAGAACAGAGAAGCAAACAAAACATATGAAGAAATGTCCTAAAAGGCCTGACTGGAACATAAGTAAGCCACTGAGAAGGTATATTCCAGCATCAGAAAAGTACCCTAAACAACTTCAAAAGCTGAGAGAAGAAAAAAAGGTAAGAAGGCAGATGGAACTGCTTCATCTGATTGAAAGAAATAATTCTGGACAAATCTCTCAAAATAGAGGCACTTCACCAGAAGTTCTTCATTCATCTCATCAAGAAACTGAGCCAAGTTTCAGGCGGCAGCTAGTCAGAAAGGTAAAGCTGTTCTGTCTAAAAAATATTTTTTAAAATGCATTGAGGTTTTTAGAATGAGACTACAGTTCCTCACATGCATGTTTTGACATGGCTTTTCTAGGTTTGAATGAGTTCTAGAAATTTGCTTTAGTTTACACCAGGGGTCAGCAAACCATGGCGCACAGGAAAAATACTCTATGTGCAAAAGCAGGCTGCAGATGTAGTAAGTGCCGCCTGCTGTTGCACATGCAGTATTTTAGGAACACATCCATGCTCATTCTTTTGTCTGTGGCCAGCTTCGTGCTGCAAGAAGAGTTTTATTAGAGTAATTGCAACAGACAGCACATGGCTCACAAAGCTGAGTTTACTATCTGTCCTTTACAGAAAAAAATTTACACTTAAACCCTGTATAGATTAATAGTATTCTTTATTCAAATATTCATTCAAAACGCTTGTTTATAGTCTGTACATATAGAGCTTCCCAAGTGGCTCAGTGGTAAAGAATCTTCCTGCCAATGCAGGAGACCTGGGTTTGATCCCTGGAGTGGGAAGACTCCCTGAAGGGAATGGCAGCCCACTCCAGTATTCTTGCCTGGGAAATCCCACGGACAGAGGAGCCTGGCGGGCTAAGTCCAGGAGGTTGCGAAAGAATCAGACACAAAGACTAAAACAACCAAACAGTGACAGTGAATATTTGAACCAACACTCTTGAGAGAGAAATAAAGCCGTATAGACAGAGGGTAATGGGCAAGGTCAGGAATGACTGGTTTGGTTTCTCTGACTGGAGAAATACCTAGCCTCTTACCTAGTATCTGTTGCTCAAATCATTGTTTGAGAAACATTTTAACAAGTTAACCACTAGTTATTTGTGGGGATATATGGAAATGCTGTTGCTTACTCCTTTCTACATTCATCTGTCCATCATACAGGAAGAAGAGCCTCTGAGAACTAATTGTTTTAGCAGGGAAAGGTATGTTATGGTTTTCATTGCTACTTCATGCTTCCCATGTGATATAAAGGTCAGCCTAAGCAGGAATGTGACATTTTCTGTTAGCTCCAGATTTAAACAGTTTTGATTTTCCAGATGTCAACAGTGGAATAGACAGTCTCCTTGGATTGAGAGGGGAGGAAAATGACTGGTTAGCAATGAGAGATTAACCAACGGGAAATTTAGAATCGTGTTCATACACAAAAGCAGAGAATAGGAGTCTATCTGGTTTAGAGTTGTCTCTGAATGTGGCTCTAATAGGAAGTTTACTTTAGGTGGTAAAAGTTGTATTATGAACATTAGACTCAAATTAGGTAGCATTGATCCTCAGAAGCTAGTAAAATTTAAGCTTTCTCCCTGTTCTAGACTGTGTCTGTATATGTATATCCTCAGCCAGTAATAGTAACTCCCAAATTAGTCCCATTTTATTGGCCTATTTTAGGAAAAATTATCAGAAAATTCAAGCCTTTTATACATGGTGTTCCATAAGATGTTATAAGTACATTTAGAATAAACTGAAATGTGATTGAAGAGTAGAAAATGCTTAATCTAAAATAAAAGACACAATTGTTGATTAATGCTTCTTAAGTCCTTTATTGTGCTTTTGGGAAAATACAGGTCTCAGTCGCCACCAGTTCTGGCAGTGAAAAGCAGAATGCAACAAACTCAGACACTGAAAAATAGTAATTATAAAAGAAAGAATCTGATCTCAGGACATAGTCACACAGAATTACCACCTGGGATTTCTGATACATTTCATTTTATTCCATATGTCCGAACCAACGAGGTTTATTACCTGGACCCAGAGGCCCCATTGTCTAGGCCTGTAACCCAGGATGCTCAGTACCAAAATGCACATGGTAAGTAAATGTATCCCCACCCTGAATTCAAAATCCAAATTAATATATGAGTAATACTAATAAGCTTTACCCCAGGAGGGGTAGGATTTCGCTCTTTTGGAGTGAACTATAAAATTTTGTATTGAATATGTATTAAGTTTTACTTGGAGCTTTCCTAGGATATAAATTAATGAACCCCTAGAAAACTATAGCATTGGGCTATTCATAGTATCAGAAATGTATTTGATTTTTGTCGTTTACATCCTGTCTTACCTCAGACCAAGAAGAAGAGCTGTTTGCCTCTGACCATCTCAGGGACCCACTTCTCAGTCCTAACTTGGGGAAAAACAGGGATCGACAACAAGCCATCCTTAAGGGACTGTCGGACCTGAGACAGGTATGAGCCTCTCGATGGTGCAGGCGTGACTCACTCTGGTGGAGGGCTCTGTTAGAATGGCTAAGCAGTCACTTAAGCCGAACTGGTTACAAGACTTTTTGATTTGATTCGCATTGCCAAAGAGTATTTCTTCCCAGCATGAAATCATGAGACGTGAGTATTAAAACAATTTTATTGAATGAAAATGCATACATTTGAAATGGCAAAGCATGATCAATAAGGCCCTAAAACCAAAGGCAGAAAATAAGTACAGTTGTGGTTTCTTAGTAATGCAGTTCACAATTTCTTAAAATGAATGTGTTGGCTGGGTTTAGAACAGAACATTGACACAAGACCCCAACAGCACTATATACTCACTGTGAAATTACATGTATTATCTCACCAGATTTTTTTCTCCTTGCTCAGGTTAAAAATGCAGTATTTAAGTCTATAACTTTTCTCTATCAGGTAGCCTTGAATAAACACCTGTTGCTGTGCTTTAATGACTTACAAAACTGCTTTTGCAGTTAGTTTTGATTCACAGTATAGTTTTTTCCTAAATAAACTGTAGTTTTAGGAGTACCTTTTCCATGTCCAGTCATTTACAGATGCCTCCTGTATTTTAAGTTGTTGATTCAAGTGTTAATTTTTTTTTCTATAAAGCTAGAAAATCACCCCCCATTAATACAGGATTATCAAGACTCCTTTGGCCTTTTTACACGTTAGCATTAGTTACACCTGGATTGAGTTTTGTAACTCAAGCTCGGTAATTCACACAGATTTTACTAACATTACCTTTGGAAATGACAAGCATACTCTAGCTTAGACAAAAAGTTGTAATACACATACACGTTCACCTATATAGTGACCATGTCTTATTTCAGCAGGGCCCTGTGCCAGCCACTAAGGTTAATGCAGTCAACATATACACTGGATGTTAAGGGAGACTCATGGTCTTTTTAAGACATTTGAGGAAAAGGTAAGGGGGTGGCATCTCTTTAAGGAAAGCCATCTCTATTGGTTTTATGCTAAAAATATGAAGACAGTCTTACAAATCTATAATAGCTATATATATAGTAAGTACAGTATCCAAGTGAGAAAGTCTGGTGTAAAAATTGAAAACATGTTTTCAAAGTAAATATAAATTGGATTAATTTGCACACTTTACTAACAAATCAATGTGATTTCAGGGCCTTCTCCAGAAGCAAAGGGAGTTGGAAACTAATCTCATGCCTTTAGCTGCAAATCAAGAAGAGAATTTTAGTTCTTCGTTTTAAATGTAGAAAATTAAACCCTTCATTTGTGTTCCAAATTATAAAATGTGGTTGTTGCTTAACTGTGTTTTTACAAGTAGCCTAGATTTATTTTTTAAATGCTTATTTAAAACTTGTACATTATGTAGAAAAATGCTGTGTATATATTTTATGTATTTAAAACAATAAAACAGTTTCATAAAAGCTTAGTTAAAAAAAAGTTACCTGCTCTGTCACAATGTGGGTTATTTATCTACTTACCTTAACACAGCCTGGAGTTTACAGATAATGTTCTTCCACACTTTACATGTAGGCTTACTAATTGAAACACCACTTATCTATTATACTCTGTAAAAAGAGTTTGAAGAATAGGACCTAAAGTTCTTTTAGTGGCCAAAGGAAGGTCTGATGTCCCAACATTACTAAAACAGCCCAGATTCAGCTTAGGCTTATGAGGAAGGTTTTTTAAGTCCTTTCATGACTTTTATTGTAGAAACTACAGTTTTCAAAAACAGTTACAAGTTTGTATTAGTAATGAAGAAGCATTTTTTTAACCAATACATGTGGATTGAAAATTTTTATCTCCACCATGTACTTTGGTGCAGCACTTAAGTGCTTACTTACCACCTGAAAAATATACATACATTTTTTTCTAACAATTAAAAAACCTGTAGCAAAGTTGGTTTCAAACTGTTAATAAACTGCCTGTAATAAACAGAAACCTATCTTTTGAAATATGAAACTGAATTTGGTTAAGTCTAAGGACCACATAAGCACTGAAAAAAATAAAAGCTTGACCAAAATTTTAGTAACAGGCAAAATTACATGGTTAAGTCTAAAGATAAAAATTAATGCTGCCTGGTATTAAGTCCTAAGTACATAGTTTTATAACCTAAATGAAACTGCTTTGTTCGATAAATCCTGAGGTATTGAGCCAAAATCCTGTAAATATTTATTAACATCACTGGCTTATACCTGTGTAAAAACACTGTACAAAAGCTTAAATAAATACAATAGTTGATACATCATTTCAGCAAAAGTATTTGGGATAATCTGACATTAGAGGAAGAAAAGTAAAGCCACTACTGTGCACTATCCTTTTGCAAATATCCTAGTTTTATATATAAAACAAGCTTCAATTTGAAGCCAAAGTACAGATGACATATAAAGTGTAAAACTTAGAAGTGCCAACATGAGATAATTCAAGTACAATATATGTTAAAAATATATATATTTATTTCAATTTTCCGAGGCTTCAACTGTTACAGGCCATCATGATTTAAATAAGGGGGGGAAAAAACATGAGAAAGAAAAGAAACCTTTTGTTTAGAGAAAGAAATATAAATTGTTAATTCACTTTTAAGAAACAGAAAAAGTCCAAAACAACCTATTAAAAAAAAGTACTATAATTATTTATGTTTTGAAAACGGCCTGCAAGAATCAATTTTCCACCAACTTAATGGAGATGGAGAGCTCTCTCTATCCAAGCTTTGAGTATAAGCAGATAAAAAGTCATTTTCACTTTCTTGAGTCTGACTTGATGAAAGGGCATATGGTGTGCCCAAAAATGTCTGATGAGTGAGAACATTAAAATGACTAAACTGATGGGACATATTTAATCGACTGTGATAAACCTGAAAGTTGCTATATGAATCTTGTTCAGCTGAATTACTGTTCTCTCCTTCAAAGCATACTCTATCAATAGAAGCTCTCTCTGCAGAATCAATTTGATAAGTCTCATCTTCTAATAAACTTTTTTGCAAGTCAAGAGACGATTGCAACTCAATTTGAATATTCTTTTTTTGATCTGTTCCACGTGATCCTTTGGTCTCTTTCTCCAATATTTCTGAATGAAAATTGCTGCATACTTCTATTTGTGAGATTTCATCCCCTGAATCCAGAGACATATCCTCTTCATCCTTTTCATCGTTTTCTAAAAGAGCTACATTTAAAAAACAAAAAGTCCTCCTCTATTGAAATACACAATTTGTTTAAGTTTTAAAATTATACACTACTCACACAATATAATGCGTCAGGGTCTGCAAGTCCACAATCCCTTAAAGCTTGGTCTTCTGCCACAAGTTCACTTAGTCACAACACTCACACTAGGTGTGAATGTCCAGATAATCCGATGCTAAAAGCTTCTGCGAAATGTGTTCACGTTTAATGTTGGGAAATCCCAACTCCCAGCTCCAAAGGGGTTAATGTCAAAACAGCATCTAAAGTCATACGGTAATTCAGTATTTGACAAGACAAATATAAAATAAAAATTCTGACATCTAGCTTCACTGGATTACTACTAAATAAACTGGTTAGCTCTATCAAATGTTCGATCATCTCTGCTTTTCCTCGAAAACAAAAAGTACATCTTTCATTTTACATAAAACCTGGAACCAAAGCAGAGGCCATCTCACAAAAGACTAAAGCTATGGATATCTCTACTACTTTATCATTAAACTGCTTTAAATCACAACAGAAGCCAGTAATACTTACATTACCTCCAAAGAAAATGCTTACTCTATATAAGTATAGTATGCAGTCTACCATTAACTCTTTAACAGCTTACATGGACTACAGTATAGTAAATGACATTTTTGTATATTCTAAGTAAAAGAATGATAAATGCCTTGAAACACTCCCCCTGAAGCTGTTTACACTGAGGTGAGCAGTTTCAAAATAAGTTTTCATTATCTGAAATCAAAGCAAAACCATTCTTTTTCTGTCTACCTTAAAGAAAATGAAAACTACTGAAAAGTTACCTGACTGTGACTCAAGATTCTCATTAGCACCAAGCAATGGAAGGTTTTCTTCTGTGATTGAGTTGTGATAGCCCACAAGGTTTTTAAAGTTTTGCATGAAGTCTTCAGCAGTTGCAACCACTATTCCATTATCAGTGTAACTAGAAATCATCTTGATACTCTTTTCTAATTTGGGGGGAAAAATGTTGAATATAAAAAATACTTGAAAATATAAAATTATAATGCCTGCCCGCAGCCCTCAAAAAAAACCTTTCCTCCACATTTTCAGAAACCCCCCCCACACAGTGCCACAAAATCCTTTCGCCCACATTCCTGTATTCATAGTAGAAAAGAGCATTTGCTTTACCTGTTAAAAAGACTATGTGCCGGTGCTGTATGTTCTGAGCCTGAAGTCTGATAAGGCAATCCAATTCTGGAGCATTTCGAGTTTGTGAATCACAATTGTGGTATGACAAAATTTCAACCAGATGTTTCTTCTGATAGACATTCAGTAGCGTCAACAGACTTAGAGCTTTAGCATTCAATCTGTGAAATTAAGTAGTTCAGTATCTGGATCTGCATCTCTAAAATTTAGTATGAATGTTTTTGCTTGAAATTAACAGCATAATTTCTCTATAGAAGCAACTGATCACAACCACACTGCACAGCTCACTGCCTGATGTATGGGTGCTTCTGAGTAGAGGAAGAGTAGAAACTCTCCAACCCCATGGTTAAGGGCTTTCTCTGGGTCCGAAGCCTGAGGACCAGTTACTGAGTTCAGACAAAAATCTCAACTTACTAAATAAAATTACACTTCTCTTCAGCTTCACTAATACAGAAATGCAATCAAAGGCATAAAAGGACAGAAAGTATATAAACCTCCCCTTCAAAAAGAACATGGCTCTACGCTATCTCTAACCCCAGACACAAGGCAACCTGTGGTAGAAACTATTGGCTGTTGTCAGGAAGATGAGGGTACTAACTTGAACAGGTTATACCTTTGGTCCTCAGTGTTGGTATCTGTTACAAAAGACTTGCCCAATGCCTACTTCACATGATTTGATGTTTTTAAAAAATCAAATACAATGAAAATTAATTTTAAATTATTTAGGCCTGAATTTCCCTAATTGTGTGCCATGGAATTTCAATAGGTACAAGAAGAAAAAAAAAGTTTTGTGGCCTATGTTTTGGAAATGCTGACTGATAGAATGTTACATAGTATCCTTAACTACAGTTTCTCAGATCCTTAACTCTGTAAGTACCTTATATGGACTCTAGCAATCATCTGATTACAACAATCATTTGCAGAGCCTCTCAAGGGACTAGTTTACTATTCCAAGAATCACTTTCAGAAGTGACTTCTGGACATGTTAGAAATCACTTATTTACACAAATTAATGAACTAATCATAGAACCCCTTATCATGTCAAAATTAATCCTTGTCTCATGTGTAGTGTTATTAGATTAACTGAGAGAGGACCTGATCTAGTTGGCATATATACGGTTCCATTAAAAAAAGAAGAATGCTGATTATCTCATTTTATAATTCTAAACCCAAATGGCAAAGGTCATATACCTAACTAGAACTTTGGAAAACCTCTACATAAACAAGAATACCATTTTGGCTGGCAAAAGATACCTATGAAAACTGAGCAGCATCTATCATCTGTAAACACAGAGAACAAAATCCTGTGAACAAAATGTTAAAATCAATGACCAATACAGTCATTTTTCAAACCTTACCTGCCCAGTTCCTTTAGCTTTTTCTGAAATTTACAGTGGACTTTCCATTGCCATTTTCCTTCTGGAGTACTAAGTTCTTCGAGGAATGTCAAAAAATTTTTAAGGTTCTCTGTTAGAGATAATGAAGTTTGTTTTAAATTCAGTAAATAAGTCACTCCACAACTGAAAATGGAAGACATGTCTGCTGATACTATGTAGTATTTTCTCTTTTTTCCCCCTCTAAGGGAGATAGATCTAGCTCTCTCTCTAATAACATCTACACACAAAAAACAAGTTAACAAAAATCAAAAGTAATCTAAGTAGGTGCAGAGAGCCCTGCTTCATGCCAGATTTAGTGGAAGTTAATTCATAGAGTAAAAGAACGGCAAACAAATCTGTAGTAATAAACATTCCAAAAAATGATGGAAATTACCTGTGACTGGCAAAACGAACAATACATGAGAAAAGTACGAGTGAGTCACTTATGAGAAAAACCCAAAGACAGAAGTTACATGCTTAAGAGAATGTATCTTACCAATTGTGATTACTTCTGGATTTAGAATGGATTCATCAGAAACAATAAAACCTCCAGATACAAATAATTCATTGTATGTATGATTTTTAACATCATCCAGACTATCAACACCAGCAAAACTAACACAAGGGAGCTTCTTTAACATCACCAAACGAGGTACCTATTTAAATACGAAAACAAAATTAGAAATAAGGATAGACTAAAGTGTGAAATGTACAAGAAACGTACTGTGGCTCACCTGTACTAGTTAGTGTGTTGCCTCTGAGAAGTCAAATGCAAAAATATTTACATTTTTTCCAAATATACAAACTGACATGTACTGGGCATCTATGCTGACAGAACACTCTAAGGAAGAGGCACTTATAACAGACCTAGAAATTCATCATTCAGAATGATGAATGCTAACTTGCCCTGCTCTGTGAGTACTGAGAATTCAAATGAGGCAAGAGCCTGGAACAGTCACGAAAGACTTCAGAGCGCAGTGGTACCTGACACAGGCTCCTGAGACTAGATGGGGCACCCCCAAACCCAAGGGACAGGGGGACTGGTTTGGCAAAGAGGGGGTATGTATGAATGAAGGTGGTAACAACAGAGTCAGCAGACCCAGTGGCATTCAATGAGCCAATGTTCTTACTCTTGACTAAGCGATGGGAAGATAATGTGATATGCCACAATTTAAAATTTTGCAGAGGTACAAATAGGAATCCCACAAGTCAATTCACAGAGCACAGTGCAGGTCCTAGATGTCCTAACCTCGAAGTTTTATCTCCTTTAAAACTTAACAATACTTTAAAAACAAACAGCTTCAGTCTCAAAGATAGTAGAGATTTTTTACAACCAAAGTAAGGAATTCAGTGTAACAGTCTACCTTGTGAATGAATCCTGCAATGTCTTCATTTTGAATAATAATCAATAGTTTATCTAATTTTGATCTTCGTTCCAAAAACTGTTCTGGGTGACACTCTGTATTGCCTAATTTGATAAGATACTCCTGTTGAAAAGAAAAAACAAACTAAATCAACATTTGAAACTCTTCTTGCAAACATCCATTTAACGCCAGAAATGCAAGATAAACTGGTTATATTTAACTACTGCTAGACTATGATTAATGATGAACTTTACACCAGGGACCTCAGAGATCAAGGCCACTCTTAGAGAAGACTGAAGCTCAGAGCTTTCACGGTCACAATCTCAGCATTTCAAATCCTATGCAGTCAAGGCCAAGTAAATGCCAGCTGGGGTAACAGAACAGAAAGAATGGATTAGCCCAGGTTTTTAACTTAGTACTTATTCTGGGCAACCACTCCCTCACTTCCATTTTCCTTTCCTTTATTTTTTTTTTAAAATTTTTTTTTTTCATTTTCCTTTCCTTTAAAGCAGGCCCCTGATTATCTGCAGCAGTTACCAGTATATTCCTCAAAGTTACAAAGCACTTTTCCAACTGCTGAAGCCCATTTAATTCACAACCACCCCAAGATCATTCATACAGAGCTTCACTATGTACAGTGGTACTTACATATTAATTAGCTCTGCCTGTCAAGTCTACACCTTCAAACAAAACAAGACTCTCCCAATAATGCCTCCTACCATGCTGGTAACACAGTACTAACAGTTACTACCTTTCAAAGGACACAAGATAGCCAGTCCTGGCACCATTCTCTTTGCTTGCTGGGGGAATCCTGAACCCTGAAGCAAAAGGCAGGATTCTGAAGGTCACATTCCTCATTTCAGACTCAGGAGATTAATTTTCTCATGGTTGACAAACCATAAATCTGAACCAAGCTTGCCCCCACCAGCTTTTACGAGCTGTCTACAGTGTCACACCCAAAGCGGATGTTTCTGCGCGGCCAAGAAGCATCTTCTGTGTTGTTTCATTTTACTCTAGCCTCTAAAGCCTCTGCAGAGAGCCCAGAGCAGCTTACCATCAAGTTACGAAAAAGGAAATTAGTGTCTAATAGAGCTGCTTGTAATTTTTGGTTTGTTTACATTAAGAAGCTTTAGATGCAAGTTTGTTTTATATAAGAGTATAACTCATAACGCAACAAATCATTTTGATTCCAGAAATATTTAGGAAGTTTAAAATTTTATTCATGAAGTCCTATACTTTAACATTTTGCAAAATTTCCAATGGGTATTAATTAAGAGTTAAATTCTGATCTAATTTCATTTTTAAAATACACATCCTTTTTCTCTCCTACATAAAGTAAATAACAGAAATATGATTTACTCTAAGCCATAATGGATCAAAACCACCATTCCTAAGTAAACAAATTTACTCTAAGTGTCTTACAATCTTTAAAACACAGTGGGAGATGGACTTACGCTGAGCACACTGGGAACCATGCCCAACCCACTCTCATTGAGCTCCACGCCAATGTGCAGTGACGCCCCCAAAGAGGTGGTAACATGTTGCTGGGGGTGAAAAAATGTGGAGAAGCTCAATGCTTAATCATACGGGGCAAAAATGCAACCAAGAAATTCCTGATAAATTCCCAAGAACTACAGGAAATGAGTAAAGGCAACATGCTGAGCACTTGGCTGCCTTCACCTTCCCCTGAGCACATCAAGTCAAGTATGCCAACATCAGAGATCCTCAAACTGACAAAGGCTCAGGGCAATCAAAGCGTGGAGTTTCTGATGCACTCTGGGCTGTAAGTAACTTACAGTCCCTTCTGCTTCCTCTAACTAAAAAAGCAGAAGCTCATCATGTAAGTAAATTGAAAATGAGAGCAGGTATATTTAAAAAACTAAGGCATTCCCTTACTAAGGAAAACTAGGGCTTGCTTCCCTTGTGGCTCAGCTGGTAAAGAATCCGCCTGCACTGCGGGAAACCTGAGTTTGATCCCTGGGTTGGGAAGATCCCCTGGAGAAGGGAAAGACTACCCAATCCAGTGTTCTGGCCTGGAGAATTCCATAGACTATACAGTCCATGGGGTCGCGAAGAGTCGGACATGACTGAGCAACTTTCACAAAAACAATGACACAAACAAGACATTCCCTTAAGGAATTAAAATGCCATACAGTTTAGTGAATACTAATTGGCTAACTACTATCACTATTTAATTACTAGTTAACCACTAATATAACTGTCCCATGTGTTATAAATTATATATGTCTCTATGTGTGTATGTGTGTTTTTTTAAATCAACTGCCTGAAATGCTAGTCCACTCCATAGCTTGAGTACAAAAATTATACCCTGCAATAAAGACTCTTTCATGATTGGGTAAGTTTTCCAGAATCATGTTTTTTGATCAATAAGGGCTATAGGGAACCCTGGCATGCCCAGGACATCAATAAACACCAAAAGATACCGTCATTACGTCATCCCGGACGGTTTTGTTTTTCTATCTGACTGATAAAACCCCATGAGGCACACAGTGACAACTTCATTTCTCTGCATCTCTCCCTCTGCTTTGTTAAAAAACCCAAGAAACATTTAAAATCTTTGAATCAATAATGTAAAGGTATGGCAATACGTATGCAGTTGGTCTTTAAAAGTGAGACTATGCAAAATAAGATTCAAAATTCTAAGATGTTTAGATCACAGGTTCTGAATTTAGTTGAACTTACTAGTCTTTTACTCCACTCTGCATTAAATTATAAAAAATAATATGGTCAGCATTTAAAAAACAAACACAAAAAATCCATTTTATAGAGATCAGACTCAACAACACAAGTTTAGACAGCATTACAATTACCTTCTCATTTAGTTACCTTTATTTCTTTACAAAGCACACTCTCCTCTTCTTCATGAATATAAAATTTCACAGTATTTTTCTGGACATCTTTCATGATTTTAACCAAACTGTTAAAAACTTCAGGCTCTAACTGGCTTATAAAATTTGAAAGAGCTGGCTGGGCAGAAATGTTTACATCACTGGGCGACTTTGCGTTTTCTTTTTCTGGTTCCCGGGTAGCATCACCAGGTACAGTATGATCGGAAGTTGCCACTGGCTCCGCAGCTTGATGTGGCTGGTTCACCTCTACTTCAGTTAAACCCAGAGCTGAGGAGGAATGCTGCTCTTGAGAGCTGGTGTCTTTCAAAGCATCACTACCAAGTAGTTCAAGATGGTGTTTACTGCTGAAGTCGCTTGAGGAAACTGGCACGACATGCCTTCCCAGAGGACTCAGTGCTATCTTAGGACAAGAATCATTAAGACTGACTGGTGGCAAATTCCCACTCTTGGCTGATGCTTTGATAATAATAGTATTTAGTTTCTCATGCAAGCCATCTACAAACTCCTGTACACCAGCTTTGGAAGTCTTAGAATATATGAACTCAGAAAGCCGTTTCATCTTCTCTTGCGTTGAAAAGATAGGTGTGGAAATTCTGCTGACATATGAAACATTCTTTTGCTTCAGAATCTCTTCTATCTTCCTAGAAAAGAGGTTATACTCCCCTAGCACTGTCCTCTCTGTGGCCTCGCTCACTGCAGGCGGCTCTGGCGCCGGCACACACTGCTCCTCCGTCACCACCTGACCTGTCACCGCGTCCTCCTCACTGGGGCCCTGCACTGTGTCTGTAAATGGAGAGGATGGAAACTGGTGATCAGAACTTCTCGGTCTACTTATTACCCGGGGGTCGTTAGGGAAGGCCTCCTGTGGTGGCAGACACACCAGCTGTTCTTCTGGTGATTTCATACCTATACAGGGAGAGTTTACTATTACAAAAGCAATCCAATATTAATGACATCTGAAAATACAAACTCATAAATTAAGGGGCGGGGTGGGGGGAGGCCAGGTCAACTACATATTTAGAACAAACTATGTATTGGAAGGTAGAGTAAAAATCTCAAATAATGGTATGACCCTATCCCCTATGCACCCTTCTTATTTTATGGCTGCTTTTTGTATTTCAGTAACTCAAGTAACAAGTCTGAATGTTACTTTCTTTGATTACTTTTGAAGTACTCAACCAAGTGCCAATTTAACATCACTACAGGTAAGTCACTTGCTTACTTCTGCTTCCCTACTTTTTGGTACACCTGACTCTAACGGACATGTTTTAATCAGAACAGTTAGTTGCAACAGCTTGTTCAACCCCTATAATCTTTGCGAAGTAATGCCCACTACTGTGGTTCAGTTCAGTCGCTCAGTCGTGTCCGACCCTTTGCGACCCCATGAATCGCAGCACGCCACTACTGTGGTAACACCTTCTTAATATGAAAACTTTGAGTGTAAGGCAACTGAAAGATCATCAAGCTGAAATGCTGTGGGAATAAGTTGCATTCAGGATCTAAGATAACTAATTTTATCTGTTTCCATATTTGCTCTCACATATGGAGTTGTTTACCTATGGGGCTGCATAGTGGATTTGCTACAATGTTAGGACTTATCAGGGAAAGAAAGGCTCAATAATACAGGAAGAGAACATATTTCATAGCTGCATTAATAGTAATGCTTTTTGATAGCACTTTAGTATTTGTATTTTGCTTGGAAATAATTCCAAGAGAAATCAAAATAGCTATTACCCCATTTGAGATGAAGAGATCATTAAGCTAGCTAATGCTAATTGAATTATAACTTTTGATTCTTAACAACTAGCTCAATCCGTAAGAAAACATAAATCCTAAATTTTTCCCCTCACAAATCCTAAATTCAACCACAGTATGTTTTTGAAACTGCATTTCAAAACAGGTACGCTAAATCTCTCTGTAAAAAACAAGGGGAAAATATGTTTAACAGCAATTTATAGTAGTACTTTATTTCAGTAAAGACAAAGTTTTGTTATGTTTTGTCTTCAAGTTCCTATTACATAAGTTTATCAAAAAATTACTAATTTTTCTTAAATCTTAGCCAATATTCCCTAACAGATTGCTACTACAGTATAAAATGTTACCTCTAGATCAGAAAGTCCACACATAGTTTCAGTTTTCAAAACTGCAGTACTTTTAAGATATAGTGGAATCCCTATTAAAGTTTATACCCAGGTATAGCAGTGTAACTTCTATTCTATATAAAACTCAGTTTTGATTTCCCCCACATTCACACTTTTGTAAATGTTGAAACAGCTCAGCAGCATTTAGTTTATGACCTTTCTCTGCCAACCCCAGTGGTTACCATGAACCACTGCACCTATTAAATACTGCAAAGGCATCTGTCAGCAGGATACGAAGACCATACAGGAGGTCTGTAGGTAAAAGGGAAGGGGAACAAAATATCTTGTGTACCAGTTAAGAATTACTACTGTATGAAACTGATAAACCAGAAAAATATTCAAGTTCCATAAACTAATTTAGGAATTCTGAACACATTTCTTACATCTGCAGTATGGCGTTTAGTGGACACATGAAATGTCAGGATGGATACATAAGAAATTTGTAACAAGGAACCCCTTGGTGATCCAGTGGTTAGGACCTGGCCCTCTTACTGCCAGATCAGATGCCTCCCTAGTCGGGGAAGTCAAGATCCCACAAGCTGTGCAGTGCAGCAAACAATAAATAAGTCTGTAACTAACGTTGATTGATTGGATGAAACTACATGTGTGGTCTAGGGTTGGAAGACATTTTCTGAAGTATTTTCGTACTACTTAACATCATGTACCATGTCAAATATCTGAACTATTGAAATAAACATTTTTAATTGCATCCCATAAAACAAACAGGGAGGACATTTAAAAACTTCTGAAGGAAAAATTAAAGGCTTCTGAATGGTTTATTATTAAAAATACTTCAAATACAGTCTCCCAGAGTTTTCTGCTATTCAAGAAGCTTATTCCTGAAGGGCTATGGATAAAGGAAATGTTTTTAAATTGAAATATAACTTAAATTCATTTGGGGAATTTTCCAATTTAGTTTATTAAAAAACTAAACCAAATCCTTTTTGAAAATGCAAATGATCACCATCTATTTTGTACAGATTCCCTCATATTTTTATTAAGATCAAAAACTTATTTTAAAAATGTCTTCATAAATGATTTAAAAGAAATACACATCAGTATCATAACAGTACGTCTTCTACTATCACTCAAGCGTTGTGGCACTTTGGCTTTTAAGTGCAAGGAGAGTAGTAAGTTCGCTAAAGGTAACATTATTGGGATTTTTATACTTTTAACAACAAAATATGAAGACGGTATGCCAAATAAAGACTGCAGATGATGATGGATCATTCTGAGACATAAACAAGATACCTGACTTCTCCCAATAAGAAAGAATTACTGATAGAAGCAAAACATAGATGAGTCCCAGACATAAAGTTGTATAAAAGGGCCAAAACCAGAAGAGTGTAGGTTCCATCTACCTTAAATTCAAAAGCAGGTCAAACTAAATCTATGCTGAAAGAAGGAACGTTAATGGTTATTGTTTGGGGCAGGGAGAATACTGACTGGGAGGATGCAGAAGAAACCCTTCTGGGGTACTGAAAATGTTCGACTTATTGATTTGGGTGGTGGTCACCTAAGTGTTTACATATGTAAAAATTCATCACGTTGTAAAGATTTATGTACTTTCCTGTACGTCATATATCTATTCTTCCTACTTTCTGTCCCCCACACCTCCAATCGTCTTTTCATAGGAGGAGACAAAGATGTTAAGAAAACTATTAACTCAAGTCTTTTTCTTTTTTACCCCCAAAGACAGGAATAATCACAAAGATCTACTAAAATTACAGTCACTTAGTTCTTCTTCCAAACAGAATAAACAATACTCTTTCTTTCTGAAAGAGTAAGATAAAATCAAACAGAAACAAAAAAAAAATCCAGACCAAATTCCAAGCAAGAAGAGTCTGCCTGTGGCCAGCTGCCAAGGTACTGAACCGAGTTCAGACAAAAGAAACTGTCTTCCAGGCACCTACTATACAAGCTAATCAGTAATATCTGTACATGCTTCTCTTACTATCTGTAGAAATTAATTTTACAAATAGAAGAATTCAGTCAAAGAAATATAAGACTAGGAATAATGTACCTAAAAGATACATGGCCTCACCTCCTCACTTTTTTAATCTAAGAGAAACTTGAAGACTGCTTCTGTAGAAGTGGATTAAGAAAAATATTCTGGTCTTTCCAAATTCTTATATCAGACAGAACCTACTGTAGGTGAAAAAAATTTCATCTGTGAATATTCAGTGACTCCCTTGAATACATTTTTATATAAGAATATTTTATATAAATATTTTAAATACAATAGTGTCCAAATTTTCAGTAATTAACAGATTTAAACTGACAGCCTCCTGACAGATGACCAGAACTGTAGTAGCAATTCTGAAGAAGGGCACATGGAGGAAAAGCAAAGGGAGCCTTCTTACCTGCTGTTTGTTTCTCACCATGTTTTCCCAGCTGGTCTTCTGGGCTTCTGGCATTCCCTCCTGAGGGAAAGCATCCATTAGATTTGTACACTCTCTTCAGATACTGGTGACAACCTTTTAAAGCACCTTTCCAATAACCCCAAATGCTAACAAATCCCGTATTCCTTTGTGCACCTAAAATAATCCTGAAGGGTCATTAAGAAATGGGAAGTTGCTTTCTTTCCCCTTCAGGTGATGATGGAATATCAACACCTAGATGTTGTGCCTTCAAATGACTCTGAAACCAACTATGCAGGTGTCCAAGCGAGGAACCTTAGGACAAGCACCTTGTACAGACTACTTCCTTACTCGGTTTGTCCAACTCAAACTGACTTCTCCAGCTGCTGCTCTACTATCGCTTCTGGGCCTGGTGCCCTCTCTAACAAGGTACCAAGTAGATAGAGGTGCTGAAGCCCACAGAAACTCATCAAGCTTTCAGAAATTCTTCAGAGTCCTTAGAGGTCTCAGTAGCTTTTAGGTCATAAGCCAGTCTGCTTTCGAGCAAAAACTGGTTTTTGTTTTCTTTTTAAAGGTTAAATAAAGATCAAGGAATGGAATACATGTGCCCTGGACATATTTCCCCAAATGCTTAGCTAACAAAGATGAATAAGAACTTGGAATATTAACAGTATCTGTATGTGTGTTTATGTGTTTGCACAGAGAAATTAGAACACTGCAAAATGATCTTTCAACATCTGCTAAACTAGTGATAAAGAACCCGCCTGCCAAGACACGGGTTCAATCCCTGGGTTGGGAAGATCCCCTACAGGAGGGTGTGGCAACCCACTTCAGTATTCTTGCCTGGAGAATCCCGTAGGACAGAGGACCCTGCTGGGCTACAATCCATAGGGTTTCAAAGAGTCGGACATAAATGAAGCAACTTGGCATGCTCACAAACTATTTTTGCCCCACTATAAGCTTTATAGGGTTCTATAAGCTTTTTAGGGATATTTACATTTAATCATTTCAGGCCATTCTCTACAATGATCCAATTTCTTGAAAATAACCCAATATTAAGTAAGAACTCTTTATTCATTTCTTTCCAAAAGATGAACCTTAACATGAACACTTCTTAGATGATAGTTTGTGAAGTTTAATAATTTGTGAAGACAGCATTTAATTGGCTGCCCAAAGACTGTCATTCATCTCTGTAGCTACCTCACCTTATTAAAAACCCAATTCCCGCCAACAATTTTCATTTGCAAGTTGCATGTTCAACTCGAAAGAGAAAGTGTATTTTGAATCTTTCTCTTTTCAATAGGCTCTTTTGCAGATACTGACCAAGAACAAAGCAACGCTCAATGATGAATATCACAATGCTCAAAATAAGACACTGAAGGTATCAGAGCCAAGTAAGCCCCAAGAATTTCCAAGATGAAACCCTTCAAGAAACTACTCCCTAAGTAAAACCAAGCAAACCTAAGTCCCAGTGTACTTGTTCTTACCTGTAATTGGAATCAGTTTCCAATGTATTTCAGTCTCTTCAACATTATTTGACTTAGATTGTCTATGGAATCCGTGTTCAATGTGAACAGTAGGACACAAACTGCAATCTTCAAAATTATTCATACTAATTAAATTTGGATCCTAAAAATTAAGAGTACAGATTTAATACCTTTTCAACTAATTTTAAAGTCAAGAATGAACACCTTTTTTCACAGCAAATGCTCAAACCTCAATCTAAACATTACAAATGAGTAAAATCAACACGATAAAGGTATTATACTCTAATCTCAAACACAAGTGAGCGACCAGCACTTTCAAGCAGCTCCTGACAAAACAAGTTGTCTGGCTGTGACTTTTATCACCATGGTAAATCTTAGACTATATGGGCAGCAGCAAGAGAAACACTTGCATTCATCTCTTTGTAACAAGGAATAACTTACAAATACTATCCGGCACAGACACTATTACTGAAATGTGTATCATTTCTTTGTGAAAAAGAATAACGAGCACACCCACAATCTCCCTTTCACACAAATATTCACAAAAGCAAACAAAGAATCCAATCATAGAGGCTTACTTCTTTCAAATGGAATTTATGGTCAGTGCCTACTTCACTGGTAGAAACACCAACAGGATACTTTAAAGATGATGGATCAATGTCTAGCAATGGGCTCTGAGTATCCTTAAAACGTGCATTTTCGATTTTTGCACCAGTAGACTGCTCATATTCTTTCTTATCCAGGGTAGAGCTCAACTCATACTCATGCTTCTGCCTCATCTCTTCATAGGCATCATCAGAGCTCAATCCTAAGGCCTTGTTGACTGTATCTGTCAGGGATGCATCAGAATGACGTGCATTTGCTAGTGTTTCTGACAGCCAGTTAAACAGCCTATGGATGTCAGCCACGCCAGAGTTAGAGGTATCCTGCTGCTGCCGTCTCAAGTCAGCTTCATGCCCAAGTGAGCCAACAGGCTGTGAGGACTCTGAAGGAAAGAAGAGAGAGCCATCTCTTACAGTTTGGAAGCCAAGCATAAAAATTTTTAAAAAATAAATATAGATAGATACATACACCTAAAATTTAATTATAATTTGACATTTATAGGCAAGAACTCAATCAAATCACCTGCTATGAGTTTACAAGTATATCCACCCCTTACTTTCCAAACATGACTGATTCTAAAATTTTGCACGCAGGTCAAAATTCCCATTAAATGAAGTTTATCTTCATCATATATTGAAAATTCTATTAAGAAATGAGCTAGATATCATGTTGGTAATCTGGATAATACATATAAATAACTGTACTGTAGTTACCTTAAACTCTACCACCAAAATCCTAAAAATCAACGAGATACTTGACAACAGAAAAATACCTATCCTTACTGTTTTGCAAAGTGTTCAAGCAGGATATGCAGAGTACACTTAAATCTTCTAAAGAAATAACAAAAACCCATGACTTTGATTTTGATCTTTTCCATAACATTTTGTACTAACCTTATAACCTAAACTTTATCTTAAATGACTAGATTACTTAATTCATAACAAAGCTGAGGTATCGAGATGCAAAATCAAAAAAAAAAAAAAAGATGCAAAATCACCCCAAAGAAATCTATCTATACCAATCTTACAATAAGAACAAAACATATCAGACATGGCTTCAAGCAAGTATAAATCTGGGTTATATGCACCACCGATATATTTAAAAACTTGTGAAGAGAGTAGACATTCAGAAACTCACGTGCTTTAATACTTAAAGAGAGTAAAGCTAGGGTAGATGTTGCAATTTAGGTAGTGCATAATATACCACAGTCCCCCAAAATGAGAAACAGGGTGCATACTGTACCTGATTATACGAAATTACAGAGAAGGTAAAATAATCTAGAGAGACAGAAAGCAGACCAGCAATGGAGTGCAAAGAGACAAATTCAAAGAAAGACAAGGCAACGTTTGGAGGTAATGAGAATATCCTATATGTTGGAGTGGGAGTAACAAGCTATAAAAAACTGATCAAAGTGTGCACTTAAAATGAGTACACTGTATATAAATCATACTTTAAAAAGTTGATATTAGAGGGGGTAGGGGAAATAGAAGTAGAGGACGTCCCTGGTGGCCCAGTGGATAAGAATCCACCTGCCAAAGCAGGGGACAGGTGTTTGATCCCTGGTCTGGTAAGATCCCACATACCATGGAGGAGCTAAGCCCATATGCCCCAACTACAGAGCCTGCGTGCTGCAACTACTGAAGCCCATGTGCCTGGGCCTGAGCTCTACAACAAGAGAAACCACCACAATGAGAAGACCCACACTGCAACTAGAGAGTAGCCCCTGCTTTCCGCAACTAGAGAAAGGCTGCACACTGCAATGAAAGACACAGCACATTCAAAAATAAATAAACAAAAATAAACAAATAAATAAAATTTTAAAAAATAAAAATAGAAGCTCACCACCAAATCAAGACCAGCATATTTTAAAAGTTAGAATCCTACTTTTAAAATCTTTACTTTCAGAATCAGAAATAAAGTGTCCAAAATGACTATAAATGAACACAAGTGAGGAATGCCTAGCCATGCCCATCTGATGTCACTAGCTCTGCTTTAACCATTCTATCGTTTCCCCAGCCCCTCTTCCCTGTTTCTCTGTTGGTCCACTACAACTAGCATGGCTTTCCCACCATTTTAATTTTTAATAAAGCCTGATTTCCGCCCAAGTATTTTTTCACATCTACAAATTAGCCACTTATCTGCTAAAATGGTGCCAAATTTTAACTATCTTGCCCATTATGTGTTCAGTGCTAGGAAATAGGAATGATGCTTAACAGTCAGTCAAAAGTGACTTCAAGCATGGATCAGTGAACTACATAACTTTAGATAAAATTATTTAAATTCTAAGATGGTTTACCTGTAAAATAAGGATAATAATGTCTACCAATCAAGAACTAAATGAGTCTATACACATAAAGCAGCTAGCAAACAGTAAGCACTTAACTCTCAAGACAGAAGTCAACAGTAATGATAGTATGGATCAGTAAACACCATCAGGTTCAGAACAGAGCAGAAAACCAGCAGAAGGGAAAGGAGATGAAAAGTATCAAGGAACAGAACAGCCAGAAAGCTAAGGAGGGATCACAACTGCAAAGACACAAGGCTTGAAAGACATGAAAGATGCTTTGTGGGAAAAGAAAAAAGTACCAGGCTGACCATTACATATTCTGAGAAGAGTGTCTGTTGGGAGAGTGGGAAACAGGGCTACTCAGTCTGGACAAGGCCAGGCTATAACAAAGCCTTGAAAGGCAAATACAGAAGCTGAGACGGTTCGCAAATTAGTAAAACAATACTGAGAAGAACATGATACTGAAATTAGCATTAGAAGCAAGGAAGGCCACCCCAGTACAGGGTCAAGGATGAAACACTGGAAAGAGGGAAAACAGATCAAGTGAAGAAAAAACCCTGAAAGTTCTGAAAAGAACAGCACCGTCAAAAAGAACTTTCTGCAGTGATGAAATGTCCTCCACCTGTGCTGTTCAGAACAGCAGTGTGGCTGGTGAAATGTAGCTGGTATATAATACAGGAAGTGAATTTCTATTTCAATCAATTTGATTTAAATCATTTAATCTTAAACTGAATAGCGCAGGAAGAGAGAAAGTAAAGGAGCACAGAGGAGTGAAAAGTGACTGCGGTTACAGACTGATTAGAGAACAATATAATACGAGCACTAACCCAGCCAGTTCCGAGACACGCTGAATTAGAAAACACATGAGTGAGGCTGCTTAGTAAAAAACAGGAGGAGGACAGTCAGATCTACTGTAATTAACAAAAATAGCAGCAGTACAAAATGCACTGAATGCAAAGGAACACATTTCATGCTGATAAACTAGCAGTGTTAAAAATCTAGATGAAAAGATCCTTTAAATTACTAGCAATACTGAAACACTTAAGAGAAGAATTTGTCTTTTTTCTGTCACCTAAAAACAAGAAAAATAGAAAAAATAAAAACCCAAACAAATTACTGGACTCCTAGGATGGGAAAAAGAGTGTGCATCTAAGAAATTTTAAAGCTCAGAAGGCTCTTTTCATTAATGAACATTCTAAAAGAACTCAATATTCAATTTTGTACTTTTCCAATTATAAAAGTAAAGAAATAATTAAAGGGAAGCAGCTCCAATTAGGAAGGTGATAGCTGAACATACTTTATCTTCTTATTTTAGCCTCAAGTGACACAATTCAGAAATCTGATATACAAAGACAAGAACTGGCAAATATTTTCTGAAAAGGATCAGAGAGTAAATATTTTAGGCTTTGTGGACCATACAATCTGTCTCAACTGTGCCATTATGGTGTAAAAGCAGCTAAATACACATAAACAAATAGGTATGGCTGTATTCCTATAGAATCTCCTTTAGAAAAACAGGGGACTGGCTGGATTAGCTCTCAAGCTATAATTCGCAAACCTTTGTTATGAGGAGAAAAGATAGAAACTACTTAACTATGTTTTTGCTTGTTACTTTTACACTATATAAAAGTAATTCTGATATTTTACCTTCATACAGTTGGCAATTTTCAGATAAATTACTGGTTTTGGCGAGCTTTCTCGTATTTTCAGGTAGATCCTCAAGCTTCCTCTTCAAGACAGTTTTGCTTCTCATATCTTCTGTGTCTGAATCCCCACCCACATTTTTTTTCTTACACTGAATTAAATTAATCAATTCTTTGACTCTGTCCTTATCATAATCCAAAGAGTGAGATGACTTCTGCTTTCCAGATAAAACAGTTTCACCCCTTGAGTTATTTCGTTTTCCAAATTTCATTTTTGTACCATTCATTTCTTCTTCTTGGCCTTCATAATCTGAAAGTGGACTAAACTGTTGAAGTTTTCTATTTTCTTCAAATAGCTCTTTTAATTTATAAATAGGTAACTGATACATTTCAGGTCGAAAAATATAGGTATGCAAACAATTATCAATATGGGATTTATTTTTTGGGGCTGAATATAAGAATTTTTTATCATCTAATCGTGAATCATATGGAAACATGATAAACTCTCGTTTACCTGAACCAAAACCTCTCTTAAAAAATTCACTTACATACTTCTCAACAACAGAATGAAAATTTATAGTATTTATATTTTTGAATTCCTTTCGACACTGAATCAAAGCAAACTGTAAAAACTGAGTTATTTTTAACACATCTGACATGCTCTCATGTTTCTCCTGAGGTGCTGCACTGGTTGAGCCTTTTTGTGCTGTAAACAAACAAAGCAAACCATGTTAGTAATCAAGAAACCAGACAAGTACAGATCTACATACTGTCAAAGCAGTATAATGACACCCATACATCAGTGGTGGACCAAACCAGTATGTACACTAATGAAAAATCAAAGTGAAAGTCACTCAGTCATGTCTGACTCTTTGCAACCCCATTGACTATACAGTCCACGGAATTCCCTAGGCCAGAATACTGGAGTGGGCAGCCTTTCCCTTCTCCAGGGGGTCTCCCCAACCCAGGGACTCAAACCCAGGTCTCCCGCATTGTGGGTGGGTTCTTTAGCAGCTGAACCACAAGGGAAGCCCAAGTATACTGGAGCAGGTAGCCTATCCCTTCTCCAAGGGGTTTTCCTGACCCAGGAATCGAATTGGGGTCTCCTGCATGGCAGGTGGATTATTTACCAACTGAGCTATCAGGGAAGTTCATATGTATCCTAACATACATATGTTAACAAGAATACACAAACAGCATGCCTCTAAGCCCAGGAGCATAAAATGGGCCAATAAGAAACTAAAACATGAAAATTACGGAATATTATTTTTAAAGGGAAGAACACCTGCCCTTTGAAGAGCCTTGTCATGTCCCTAGGCATCAACTAGTGGCAAGCAAAATACATGGAGAAACAGAGAAAAAGGGCAAAATCTGAGGCTCCTAGAAAGACAGTCCTGCAAATGACCATGACGTCACTCCTTCCTGTTTTAACATAACAGACTTAACTTTACATGAACTCTATCCCCATAAGCAGATAGGCAGGCAATGAATTGCTACAATTGAGAATCTCTTTTTTTGTTTGCCATGCCCCAGGTCTTGAAGGATCTTGGGTCCCCTTATCAGGGACTGAATCCCGGTCCTCAGGAGTGAAAACAGACTCCTGACAAGTGAACTGCCAGGAAATTCCCATGAATCTCACTTTTAATCTAAAAATGAGAACTTTACCTTAATACAGCATTATTAATACACCATTAGAAATGGTGACTAGAAAAATTTCTCTAAAATAGTGTGAAGATTCTTATTAATTTTGAATGGTCCAATATGTAACCTAGTGCATGATACACTTAACGTTACTAAAATTTGAATGCAAAAATGAACTAAGCTTAAAAAAAAAATCTTAGAAGTCTTGAAAACCTAAGCTATATTACTGTAACAATTTCAATGTTTAGTGAAAACACTGATAAAAACCAAAATAATTTTTCATTGTTAGAAAAAAAAAAAGCCATCTAATTTGTGTTTTATATTGTTAATACCTCTTAATATCTCCATTATTTCCCAAAACATGGTGTAAGAAAGTCAAAATGCTTACTGAGTTACCTGAAAATTTGCACTCAAATGCAGTTATCTGTATGTAACTAGATTTAGATAGCCAATGAACTTACAAGGAACTATTCCTCTAGGTTCTTGAAATAGAAACAAAGCATGTAGGACTCGAGGCTTAGCAGTTTGATGTTCTAAAAAAACAACAGAAATTCATTAGCAAGATGTATTAACTTTGAAAAAGTTAAAGGAAAATCATAAAAAATTAAAGAGATCACCTACCATATGGAGGAACCATTTGATAAGGAGAGAGAAGAAAAAGGTATCCTCGGTCTCCCAAAGGTTTAACAAGAACCTGCATTTTTGGAAGAAGGAAGAAGTCGAATCTGCTTTATTATTCACCAGAAGGCAGAAACATAGCAAGCAGTTCCTACTAATTGCAAGGAAAGCAAAAAGTTTTTATCTTTTTAAGGAAAAGTACTCTACTGAATTAGAGAAAAACCCTACCAATTCTCTGCGAACTGGATTCCAACTAATTAAGAATTCCTTAAGTTTTCACAGTTTTAATGAGAAAATATTACTGAAAGAATTCTAAGTAACTGTTAAATCAATTAGCTGATTTTTCCTTGAAACTAATAGAACCAAACAAAAACTAAAACTTCAAATATTTTCCTCAGCAATTCAGAAGCCATGTTAAAACTGCCAAGGTGGTGTGCTACATGTTGGAGATATGAAACAAGTAGGATCAAATTGCTGCCTTTCAAGAGCTCAGGCTAATTTCAAATGCAAAGTGTTGCTATAATCTATTTCTTCACATATTTAATGAACATCTTTCACATGTAAAGTAATCCTGCCTTACCAAAGATAAAGTGAGACAAGCAGCACAAGATCCTTGATTAAAAGAAGTTTATAACTGGGTGGTGAAAGTAACACAAGAAATATCAATAATTAGATAGACAGGAAAGGTCTTCAGAAGTTTTACAAAGCAACAGAAAGGGAAAACATATTTACAGTGTATGGGAGGTGGAGTTCAAAGGATGGGTACATTGCCAAGGGCCTAAGATTGTGGGAAAGACATTTCAATAGAGGCAACATCACGAGGAAAGGCAGAGTTACAACATGATGGACAGTTTGCAGGCATCAGAGTACTTACGACTGGCCAAGGGTAAGCAGAGACCAGGAGAAACATTAAGACAAATCTAGAAAGAAAGATCAAGGGCTAGATTGTAAGAAGACAAAAATGCCAAGTTAGCCAGAAATGCCCTGGAGAATATACCCTTTTGAGCTGAAGTGTTTCCGTAAAAAAAAGAGAAAACTTGATAGCACTGAAGGAAAGAAAACAACGTAATGCGAAGAACTCAGTTCACTGACTACTGCAATAGTTCACAGTATTTTTTGGACTAAAGAAAGGGTATACTCAGTAAAGGAAGAACTGAGTGTGGCAGCAGAACACAAAGGGACTCTGGATTCTGGAAGAAACCTTGTGCTATGTATATTTCCATGACACAACTCCAGTAAACAAAGTCTGTGTAAGAACCAATAATTTAAAGGGCTAAAGTGACTATGCTACCATTTACATTTAATAAAAGCACTGCTTGAAAACCCAAAAGTACAGTGGACAACACATCTGCAAAATATGTTTCAGATTTAAAACCTTAAATGTTTTATGTATCATATCCCTTTAACATTCTGCCCAAACTCTTGGTTTGTCAGAACAGAAACCTGGGAGATATGAGTAACAGCTTCATGTTTTGTGGTTGCTGAGAAAAAACACAATTAGATTTATTTAACTTCTCATCTACTGCAAATGCCAAGGGTTTTTTTTCTTTTAACCCCCACTGGCTTAGTGGCCTAAAGGCTCTAGTTCCCTAACGGGACTCAATGTCCCCGGAGACGCACGAAGCACAGGGAATCTACACCCAGAAACAACTCAGGCAGACAGAAGTGCCAGCAGTAACATCTGTAGCGTCAAACCAAAGAAACGCTTTTCAATCCTGCAGGAAAGGAAGCACCTGTGAATTCTGCACTGATGCCTCTACTTATTACACCTTACTGCTTCCTCCTCCCTCAGAAAACATTATTAACCCAGTCTGTGGATTTATATTACCAGAGTTTACTACTGACATTTTGGCTTTCCAGATAATGTTACAGGAATGAAAACAAAGAGTATTAAAAATATAAAATATTAAGCTCAGAATCTTAAATTGTCAAGCTTCTGAAAAATAACATACCCTAAGTGAGATTCAGCAAAGACAACAGACTCAAATACATAAGGACTGCAGATTGGAATCATCAGATAAAATATATAAAATAACATGTATGAAATGTTTAAAGAAATACTGTAGCAGAAAACGTTCACACAGAAACTGGCATACACATTTCACAGCAACAATATTCTTAATAGCTAAAGAGTGGAAACAACTGATGAATGGACAAACAGAACGTGGCATTATCCAGAGTGAAATAAAGGAAACAAAGTATTGATACATATTATAATGAGGATGAATCCTCAGAGTATTATGCTAAGTGAAAGAAGGCAAGAAGGCCACGTATTACTCGATCATATAAAATGTCCACAATGTAAAAACCATAAAGACAGAAGTAGATTACTAGTTGCCAGACACTGGCTGCGGGGGGAGAGGGTGGGAGAGGGAAGAATATGGAGTGAATGCTTAGTAAACAGGAAGTTTCTTTCGGGGGTGATGAAAATATTCTGAATTAAGATGATGGCAATGGTTGCATAACATTGCAAATTTATGAAAAATCACTTAATTGTATATTTTAAAATGGTGAGTCAATTAAGAAACATAACCAAGGGAACATCAGAATATAATCTCTACCTCCTAGAAGAGTCTCTGGCACATAATAAATCTTCCTGAAAGAATTAACAAGAATCTGTTTAAAAAAGAAAAAGAAAAAGGTAGACCTCAAAAAGAACCTAAGATAGCTTTTAGAAATTAAAAATAAATTCTGTGAAATTAGAAACTCAATGAATTGATTAAATAGCAAATAAGACACTTCTAAAGACAGAATTTGCAATCTAGAATATACCTATGATGAAATGACTAAAAATGTAGTACAAATAAGGCAAAAAACAAGACAGACTGACAGGGAGAACAGAATGATGCTTCAGAGTCCTAAGAAGTCAATCAAAAGAGAAAGAAGGAGAAGTATAATCCGAGAGATAATGACTAAAACATTCTTAGTTATTAGAAATAAAGATATAAATCTATAAACATGAAAAAATATACACCAAGCTGGATAAATAAGAAATCTACACCTAGATATATTTAATGTAACTGTAGAACATCAAAGACAAAGAAAGAATTTAAAAAGCAACCAGAAAAAAAAAATAAAAAGCAACCAGAAAAAAACAATGACCTACAAAGAAACCATCATCAGACTACAACTGGATCTCTCAACAAAAATAGAAGCTAGAAGACATTGTAGCATATACAGTCAAAGTGCTAAGAGAAAATAGCTGTCAACCTGAATTGTGTCCCTAGGATTTAACAATTAAATAATACACATTTTTCTCAAATCCAGACTGGACACGTACAAAACTGAACACAGAGTTGTATAAAGTCAAATCTCAAAAAAATTTAAAATAATTACGTATCTTGATTTCAATGCAATTCAAAGAAAAAAAATGTATTCACATACATTTGAAAATTTAAAAATATACCTCTACATCATGTGACAAACTGGAAGTCATAATGGGAACTTTAAAAAACAGTTAGAACTGAATAATAATGAAAATACTACATATTAAAACATGTGGAAAGTAACTAAAAAAGTACCTGGAACTCAAAGTTCATTGACCATTTTTTCTTATGTAAGAAGTCAGTAAAAACTAAATAGCAATACCCCTCCCAAGTAGACTAAAACTAATAGTTGAAATTAACAGACCAGGAAAACAAAGATACAACGGAGGATCAAAACCAAAATTTGGTTCTTCAGATGAATAAAGGCAACAAACCTTTGGTGAAAAGTACTAGTAAGAGACAGCATAATAAAATACTATTTGTAAAAATGCTCACAGTAGCTATTAAAAACACTATAAAAATAATCCTCACTCAGTACATTTTCTAAAAATAGAAATCGGCCACTTCTTAAAAATAAATAAAACCATAATATACCCAAGTTGACCCAAGAAGAAATAGAAAACCTGAATTTTCTATTAAAAAAAAAAACCTGAATCATAAACCCATAAACATTTTACGCACAGTTTTACAGTTAAGTGCCACCCAACATCCAAAGAATAGACTCTTCTCATTATATATACATCCATTTTTTGCAAAATGAGGAAACACCACCTACAATTCTGGGAAGCTACATAACCTTGCTACAAAAACTAGATCAGGAGAATATAAGAAAGAAAAATTGTAGGCAGATCTCACCCATCATCACAGGTACAAAACTCCTAAACAAAACATTCACACAATAAGTCAAGTATTTTTCAAGAGGAGGGGATGGTATTCTAAATCAGAAGCACAGGAATAGTTTAACACTGAAAAGATAAATGCATCTTATTAAGTTTATACAATAAATACTATGTGTGACAATAAATTTTATGTGTCAACTTCACTGGGCCACAAGGTGTCCAAATATTTGGTCAAACATCATTCTGCGTGTTTCTGAGGATATTTTGGGATGAGTTAACTGTACAGATAGGTACACAGATTGAATAAAGCAGGTTGCCCTCTCCAACGTGGGTGAGTCTCATCAGTTGCAGGTCTGATTAGAACAAAAATACTAACCCTTCCTGGAATAAGAGGAAATTCTTCTTGCCTGCCTGCCTTTGAGGTGGGACACTGGTTTTTCTCCTACCTTTGAAATATTAGCTCTTCCTGGCCTCAAGCTTGCCAGTCCCTAGACTGAAACTGTCAGATCTCCTGGTTCTGAAACACTTGGTTTCAGACTAAACTATGACATCAGCTCTCCCGGGTCTCCAGCTTACCAACTACAAACCTTGAGACTTTTCAGCCTCCATAACTGTGAAAGCCAATGCTTTATAATAAATCTCTTTCTATCTGTATACAGTTGACACCTGAACAATGTGGGGGTTAGGGGAAACCATGCAGTTGAAAAATATGCATATGACTTTATAGTTGGCCCTCCAAGTCCACGGTTCTGCATCTGCAGATCCAAGCAACCATGGATGATGTAGTACCATAGTATATATTTAATGAAAAAATCTGCACACAAGTAGACTTGCACAGTTGAAACCAAAGCTGTTAAAAGTATCAACTGTATATCCTATCAGTTCTGTTCCTCTGGTGTAACTCTAATACACCATGTAACCATCTCAATAAATAAATACAGAAGAATTCAATAAAATTCAAAACCCACTGAAGGCTAAAAAATAAAGAAGGAAAAACATTAATAAAGGTAACTATGAAAAACCTACTGCAAAGTTCCAACCTAATGGTTAATGTTAGAAGCGTTCTTCTGAAGATCAAGAAGAATGCCTACAGTAATCACTTCTATTCAACATCATACTAGAATCCTAGATTAGAGAGGGAGAAAAAAAATGGTGCTCCTGGAAAATGAAACATAAAGAGCAATCCAAAAGAATGAACAAAAATGAACAAATTATTCAAATTTCATATACTGATCTGACAAACATTATTTTTACACATAAACATCAATTACATTTCTAAATACAAAATAAAATATACTGAAATGGAAAATACTGTTTACAACAGCATCAAAAAAGCAAAATGTCTGGTGATAAAATGAAAAATGAGCAAGACTTGTAGTCAGAAAATTATAAAATTCTGTTAAAAGAATACTCTTAAGAGAGAAGGTAAGACCATATCACATGGATATGGTCTTTGTTCATGGATAAGACCATATCACAAAGATGTCAATCCTCTTGAATCTGACCTACAGATTTAATACAATTCCAATTTTTAAATTCCAATGGGGATTTTTTTTGTGTGGGGGAGAGATGAGGAACCAACAAGCTTATTCTAAGATTTTTTGAAAAAAATAAACTGATTTTTAAATTTTGGGGGGAAGAAAAAAAAAAGCTCAATCTCAAATAGCAAAACACTGAAAGCAAAGAAAAAAGTGGGCAATTTGCCCTACCTGATAATCAAGACTTCTTAGTGGAGAGAGGATGGACTATTCAGTAAATGGTTCAGGAACAACTTGCTAGATTCATATTGGGGGTAAAAATGAGATTGGAATCCTTTTGTGTGTTGTATCACACAAAAGTTAAAAAAAAAAAATATACATAGATTTTTTTAAAAGTTATGTGTCAGATGCATATCAGAATTATCTTGGAATTTTTTGAAAAATACAAATGCCCAGGTATTGCTTTTTTTCCTCCAGATATGTTTCTAATGAGCAGTTATGTTTAAAAACACCTGGACTATATGATTATCTTTTACTTTTTACCTAGTTTCACTTTTTCTATTTCATATTCAGTGTTCCCATTTCATTTAGTTTATGTTTTCCAATCCCCCCCCCTTTTTTGATGTTCTTTCTCAAGCCTTTATCAAGTATAGTAGAAAAACTTCTGTATACAAGTATATAAATAATATGTATAATATATACATTCAAGAAAATTTAAGAATTTTTGCCTAACAAAAAATTTATGACATTTTGATTCTACTTGTTTAACTTAGTATGAATAGAATGCTAGATTTCTAATAAAAAAAAAACAGATATGCAACAAGCAACAAAGGTTTAATGTATAGTACAGGGAACTATAGTCAGTATCTTATAAAAACCTATAATGGGAAATAATTTCAAAAGTAATATACGTGTATATGTATAACTGAATCACCTTGCTGTGCTCCTGGAACACTGTAAGTCAGCTATACTTCAATAAAGTTATTATATTATATATTAAGGAAAAAAGCTAAGTGCCAAAGGAAAAAATCATAACACATTCACATAACATTCAAAAAACACATAACACATTCAAAAAAATATAGGATACTATCTATAAGATCTAGGAGCAAGGAAAGATTTCTTAAACAAGTCACTAACAGTACTTAACATTTAGACAGACAAATTACATTACAGTTATGAACATCTGTTCTCCAAAAAACACTGTGAATTCAGTAGAAAGGCAAGTGTAAATTATGAAAAAAAAAATTACAGCACACAGCTGAGTATTAGTTCTCAAAATAAATATGAAACTCCTCAAACTAATAAGAAAACACAAGCCACTCTATGTTGGAATATAATCTGCAAAAATACTGAATCACTATGCTATATAACTGAAACTAGCACAATACTGTAAATAAACCATACTAAAAACCACAAGACATTGAAAAGAAAAAATTGGCAACAGAACATTAAAAGACATTTAAAGGCTGACTATATCAAGTAATTATGATGATGTGAGTTAATGGGAACTTGGTACTGAGGGTATAAACTGGTACAACCACTTAAAATAAAATGATTTTGTAGAGCCAGTCATATGTTACGATTCAGTAATTCTACTTCTAAATAATAAATCTAATATACTAAATGTATACCTGAGAGAAAATTACCCTGTATACGTACACCAAGAGACTCAAAATATTCATATCAGAGACAATATTCAAATTTAGGAACATTTCTCTCATATTTTTTCTTATACGAAAGTCAACTTTAAGAATTTGACTTCACTGTGTTGTACACCTGAAACTAACACAACATTATAAATCAAGTATACTCCAATAACATTTTTAAAAAAAAGTTAAAAAATAAATGAATAAATAAATGAAGAGTTAATTTCACTGACCATCAACTGAAAGAGTTTAGTATTTTACTTATCTTATAAATATCCCTGTGGGAAAATACAACTTTCCTAAATTCTGTGTCCCTGCAAAAAGCCCTAGCCTTCTGACGTGCAGAAATGTATATAGAGAGTGTTTGTTTTCATTTCCCCCAGAAATATTACACTCTTCACACATTGTAAGAATTACATCTATAGACAATTATCTAGTTTACTGCTCTGATCCAAAAGGATACATTTCTCCTATCTCCCTAAAAGTGCTAAGTGAGCACACAAAAGTTTACAGTACAGATTAGGTTCCTAGGTTAAGTCCCAAGGTGCCTGGAAGACTGAAGAGCTATCTTCCTAGGTATTTAGGTCCAAGAGGGCTAACTGTCTCCAGAAAAGACTTTATTCACCAAAGGTTGGAGTTACCATTCATTACATTTTCAAGGATATCTTTTCAGGAGAGAAGGGAAATGGTTGCCTCCTTCCCTTTATGTAAGAAAAATCATCTCACCATTGCCTATGGACTGTCCAACTACTTGCATAGACTAACCGACCTGAGTCTGGATGCATTGCCCTAAGGGTACAAAACAGAGCAAAGGAGAGCCAACACGTGTATTACCTACTGTGAGAAGGTAATTCTCTGATCCAGAATCTCTCCTGTATGTATTCAGGACAAAATTATTTAGAACCCAAGAGTCCCCAACGTACCTCCCATTATTACGACAACTATGAAGGACGTAGCTACAAATAGAAAAATTCCCAATGGGGCCTGCAGGAAAGGGGGCAGCTGTATAAAATGTCAGTTCATTAGAGTCACGTGGTGTATCCTTATGGAATGCCCGTGCCCTCTAAGACAGAGGATCTTACTTTACTTCTTGATTCTGACCCAGTCCTCCACAAACCTAACTTTATACCTGCTCAGGTGAAGAACAAAATGCTAGTATCCTTCCTATCCTGATTTTCACTATTAGGCACTAAACAGACATTGTATTTTTGTGATAAACTCCTCACTGTCCAGATTCACAATATGCATTCTATGAAATTTAAGAACTGAACAGATTTGGATAACTCAATATTCCATTATATCCAAACCTACAACCTAAACTTTCACTTAATGAACTCAGGAACTGAATAGATTTTGATCATGAGGAATATTTGTATCACAGATGAGCTTGGCGGGGTTGAGGGCGGAGGGGGGCGGTAAGAAACACAAAGATAAATGTAAATGGATGTCCATATAATATGTAAATGTACATATGCGTGTGTTCAAAGATGCCTAACCTACAGCTTTATAACTGGTCTCAAAGAGTCATTGCTAATAAGTGTACAAACTCTGCCTATAAGTTCTGTATATAATTTGACTCTCCCACCTATAAACGATGGATTGATTAAGCGAATGTATGACCATACAATGAAATTCTATGTAGTCATCTATAAAGCTGCAAGTTCTAAAAAAAAAAAAAAAAATCACTGCTACAACTCCCCATTTGACTACTGGGAAACCGAGGCTCAAAAAATGAGTAAAAAGACAACCGCTGAAAACTTTGTATTAAACAGCATACTTGTGCCAAAAAACTCTATTCCTCGCTGTTGGAATATCTAAACATTTGAACACAAGCTCACCTACCTCATGTTAACAGAAATCGTGGAATAGCCACTCTTTCCTGCAATCACTTCATCTCCTTCAACTAACCTATACACAGTAGCATCACATAACCATTTTCAATTCATTCCTGAATCCATCACAGTCTGATGCCTGAACTAGTAATCCCTTCACCGAAACTCAATATACTCAATATGCACTAAATTAGATACTACCTAGTAAATATCCCTTAAATCGATCTCTTCATTATTCTTTTTCATCACACCTACCATTACTCTAAATGGTAGTTTCCTACCTCATCTCCCCTCTCAATTCATTCCCTACAGAGAAACCAAAGTAAATTTTCAAAACACAGCTCTGATCACATTACACACATAATCAAAACCTCATCCCATTCTTTAAAATCTATTTCTATCAAGTCCAAATGTACAAACATTCGAGCACAACATAGCCCCCTACACACTTTTATAGCCCTATTTTCTATACCCTCTAATATTTTTATACTTTCAACCTCATCAAGGGCCTTGTTCTTTCTGAATCTTCAAACATGGCACAGTCTCTATTGGAACAAACGAGTAACTCCATTCACCACATAATCCAGGAAAATAGTCTCCTGTCTCATTCTTTACCAAACTATATACCCTGCATAAAAATGGGATAATAGTATTTGCCGAATATCGCAGTCACAAAATACAATCAAGATACTTCATGGAAAAGACTAGTCTATAGAGGATCTAGTGTCATGGCTAAAACAGAAAAGCACCAAAAGACCATAACACTTTTAACCAAATGGCAACAACAGAGACTTCGTGGTATTTTCAGAAGCAAAAATGACATAAACTGAAATGCTACCATAATCATTTATTAATATATGCACGTTTCTTAGGAAGAAGAAGGAACATCTGAAAACCTTTAACTCACAAGTTTCTCCTTCTCTAGTTTCTGCAGCAAACTCTCCATGTTACTTCCAATCCTTGTCTTTTCTACAACTTCATAAAGGCTACAATACATTCCATTCTTCAAAACTGACATAAGAAAAAATACACAGTTAGTATTCAAATCAAGTCTGCTTCTTATATATTGTAATAAAATTAAATTGCTCTACCTTCATTTGGACCAAAGTAAGTTTCCTTATAAAATAGTGCTGGAGGGATTTTCTGTTTCAGTTGATCCATACTCATAACTGTTTCAACATCTAACTTCTCAGGACTGAAAGAAAATTGAAAAGGCTTATTTGCCTTATCTGTATTTTAACTCTAGTAATGTTTTCTCTCAATCACTTTCTCTCTCTCAGACACATATCTGGATGGAATACAGATGAGCACATTTATTAATATCATACTTAATATTTGATATGTGAAGTTCACATGTATATACAGGTAGCTAAATAGCCCAGCAATATTACCAACCTTCTTTCTTTAAGTCAGAAGCTAATACCAATTTTACCAGCCACGAAGGATAAAAAGTTGTCATTTTATTAAAGGCAATTCATGTATGAACAGTTAAATTGCTCTTCTACCATTTATGAGGGCCCATAACATTTACTGTGGTATAGCAAAAGATCATTTTAAATCTTTCTATTCCGACTTATGTTGCAAAGAACTGAAAACAGCCTATAAATTTTAACTAACCTGACCACATCAAGATGTTTTCAACAAAGAAGTATTATAAGTCTATCATGTTCAAAATTACTAAATAAAAAATGTATCTACATAGGACAAAACTTTGAAAAATCACTTTTAATATTTAAATCACTAAGAAAAAGTTTCATGCCATGAATGTAACTATGTAAATATAACTGTAAATATAAATAATTTACATTTAAATTTAAATGTACATTTAAATGTAAATATAACTATTTAGCTTATCTGCAAATCAAGACAGAAAAGCAGAGAGCTTTTTTTAACCCAAGTTTCCAAGTTATCAAATCAATCTTTTTTTAAAAAACAAATCAGTATTAACATTTAAGTTCTTATGGATCAAAGTAAAAGTTAAATGCAAGAAAAACAGAAACAAAATTTAAATGTAAGAACTGAATAATTAGCAACTAATTGCTACTTTCTTACAATACAACATACTTACAGCTTGATAGGCAAAAAAGCACGAGTGGCTGACCTCAGAGAAATATAACACAAAAGCTTTCCTTTATTTAAAAGCTGTCCTTTCCACAACGTGTAGTTAAATTTATCTAAATAAAAAGAAAAATGACACAACTCAGACTCTCAGCAGCCCAGAAGCAAATACATGTTTACTACATAAAAAGGGAAAAATATCCAGAAACAGTTTTAGTGGAACAATCACCAAAAAAAAAAAAAAAGTCTTGACATTTCTATTTACAGAGAATTCAAATAATCGGATTTTTGTTTTGGGTATCTCTTCTCAAACAAAATTATTCCAGATGAAAAACATAACAAATTTATTTGCCTACATATCCTCCTATCAGAATGCTGAGGAGCAAAGACAATACAGTACTGCCCTCCACTTCCCCCCAAAGGAGAAATCCAGTCAACTACATGAACTCCACATGGTGTCACACAGGTTCCACTTGCGTTCTTTTCATTGTGGAGAAACTTGCAGATAGAAAATGTCAATATTGCTTTTAATCTTCTCTCTTTAACTCTAAATCTCTGATGAAATTAATACTTGTCTGAGTTGTGAAGCTTGTTTTATTTTTTTCTACCTTTATCAATCAAAGTGCTACAATTCTTTGGACTATTTACAGTACCAGCAGATTCTCAAAGGAGACCTTATGTTTGGATGACCAAGCGTCAATGCTACATCATAACATGGCCTCCAGTTTTTTCATACTTTGCAGAGTCTCATTCATTATAAAAATAAAGCAAGCACTTAACTTATTTCTTTACTCAACATAATTCTTCTGATTTATAAAACTAAAGGAAAGAAATACAAGAATCTTACCTGTGTTTCTATCTGCATTAAAGCTGTTAGATCTACAAATAAATTTTTTTAAAAAAAAGAGAAATATTACTGATTGCTAACAACATTAAAGCTAACATTCAGGACCTTGATAGAAATGCTATTTTCAATGGCATACTGTACAAAAACATTAAATCCTTCCAAGCATGAAGAACAAATTACTTATTATAACATTTAATAAACCCAAGTCTACGTGGAAAAAATCAGAATTACTTACTTGCCTCAAAAATATTCCCAAAAATACCCATCAGGAGAGAATCTAGTCCTTTAAAGTCTCTGTCAATCACTTGATTATGGTGATGAGATTTAAAGAAATAGCCTCAATCATATTTAAACATGTTCATTGTTCAATAAATATTTACTAAGCTTCTATTATTTATTAGGCACAGTTCTGGATAACAGAATTACAGGGAGGAACAAAACCCTTGCCTTCACAGAGCTTACAGTCTCATAAGGAAGACAAAAAACAGTCAAAAAGTAAATGTACAGTTTGCCAGAGGATGATCATTTTGTGCTCTGCAACAAAAAAAGCCACTACAATAACAAGCCCATGTACCTCAACTAAAGAGTTGCTTGCAGCAACTATTGTACAGCAACAAGACCCAGGGCAGCCAAAAAAAAAAAAATGCATTTGAGGGAATTCCTGGCAGTCCAGTGGTTAGGACTCTGCACTTTCACTGCCAAGGGCCAGGGTTTGATCCCTAGTCGGGGAACTAAGATCCCTCATGCTGTGTGGCAGCCAAAAACAAAACAAAAAACAGCATTGATACCAACTACACAAATTTTCAGTATCAGGAAAAAAAGGTTAATCAATGAGGTTTTAGTAAATTTTAGTTTTTATTTCCAGACATCTATCTTTCTAATTTAATTCTTAAAAGTCATCATGAACAATCCTGTATTTAATGAATTTCAAGAGAAGCAAAAACAAAAAAATGCAAAGTGCTCCTCCTAACTCAGCAGTGCAGGATACGTGATGACAGATCCTAAATGACATCTAAGATTCACAAGTCTTACCTTGATGAAGGTACGAACTTCTGAGTTTGTATATCATCTTTATAAGCAAAAGACACAACTGCGTATGGACACACGTGTCTTGGTCTTCGCCTTGGCTCATCAAAGACATACTCATAAAAATAATACTAAAAATAAGAAAACGCAAAGTTACCTCTCTTAAGAAGGCAAGAATTATAGAGTGGAATGTTATATTTATCTGCCTGATACCTGAGAAACACAATATAACTGAAGTACCTCTAATGAAAAGCTATCTTTAAGCACTGCCTGTCAATTTATTTAAAATAATTTGTACTTTATATTAATTTCATAATATAAAAATATTGTGCTTATATACACACACACACGCATTGTATGTATATATGTATCTCAAATGACAGGATACTATAAAAGTTCTTCTGAAGAGCTGACCACTGGGAATGTGCAACAAATCTCCTCAAAAAAAGTGTAACAAATGGAGCCTAACTTCCATGTCAGCTCACAAAAGCCACTGATATGGAAATAAAATAGTAAAAACACAATCTCAAGCAAACTACTACTGTGCTCATTATTTCAAAGGAAAAACAGATTCTTGACTCCAACTGAAGACTAGGCAATAGAGGGAAGGTGGCAGAGATTACAAACATCGGTGACAATACTACCACTGTCCAGAAGGCAATGAATGAGTTAGTCCAGATGATTTTGGTGAATATAATTTTCGCTAAAAGGTCTTACCCACAGAGATTCTTCAAAAACAAAGGAGAAAGTATAAATTTTTTTTAATGTAAATAAAGTAAAACATCAAAGAAAGGGAGAAAAAAAAAAGAGAACATTTCCAGGAGGTGAGCACCACCACTTCTATACACAATCCCTTTAGATATACATTTTTAAAAAAAAAACAGTAACATTCCTTTATAGTCAAACACCATATAAAACCATGACTGATATCAAATATTACACTTTTAGGTATGTGTAGTTTACTATAAATCAATTATACCTGAATAAAGCTAAAAACTGAACTGCTTGAATTTTAGAAAAATACTAATAAAAATAGAATCTATCAAATCAGTAACACAAAGTATAAGAATTAAGGTAATTCAGGGGGCTTTAACTTTGCCTTGAAGGTTGAGTAATATTTTATCAGACAGGAATTTTCAGGCCATGAGAAACCAAGGCTTTAAGATGAAATGAGATCACAGAGGGCAGGAATCATACAAAAAAACAGGCTGGAGGTCAATCTACAAGCAAGGAGAAGTAGTAAGGCTAAGGAATCTGAATATCACCCTGAGGAGGACCACTGTATGTTTCTGAGCTGTCTTGCAAACACTGAACAAACAGCAGGGCGAATCACTGGACGATGGCAGTGCTAAGTCTGGACTAATGTGGTGGCAGAGGGAACTGAAAGGGAGATATTTTAAAGTATTTAGTGACAAACTGATATGAGGTCATAACACTAAAGTGGATCCAGGCACCTACCTGAGTAAGTTCATAGGCTCTGTAAGCCAGAAGTGATGTAATTCTATTAACATTCTTCGACACATGACATTCATGCTTTGGTGTTGGGTCCGAAGCACTTTTATTTAATACAGATTCTGAACTTTTTACACCCATGGGGTCATATACACTCTTTATTTTACCCTAAAATAGAGAAAACCTTTCACGTCCATCAAAACCTTATTATTGACTGTATGACATTAATATGACAGTATACCTCTGAATACAGATCACTTATAACAGTTTTTTTTCTTTAATACTTGGTAATAAAGTAATAGCCAAAACGTTTTACCAATATTGAAGCAGTAAGAAAAAGTTACCCTGCCCTAGAAAAAAGTTTTGAATTTGTTTAATACAAGGAAATAAAAACTTTCTTCACAACACTCTTCACTTGCTTAAGTGACATTATCAACATATTTCCCTCTTTCATTCTTTTTGTTGGAAAGAAAAGCTAACTTTAAGGTTCAGTAAATTCAGATTAAAGATGGCAAACCTCTCTAAGAAGTATCTTATATACCAAACACAAGCAACTACTGGCTTTTAATCAAACTCCTAATACAAATAAAATGTTATCTTTGATATATTGAATTATGAAAGTCAAAATTACCTTCATTATTTTAAAAATAACCACATCACCCACTGCCCCAGCTTCCAAAGGATTAGCTTGTAGTAAATCAGCATACCTAGAAAGATAGACACCTAGTAAAGAAACAAATGAAAGAATTATTAATAAAGACACAAATATAAAAAGTCCAAATACTTAACCTAAGTATTATAATTATATAATACTCTAAGAGATAAAATTAAGAGATATTATAAGATTATAATAAGAGATAAAGAGATAGTTACAAGAGATAAAAGGTATCACACCTTAAAAAAAAATGTAATGACGGTAAAGATAGCTGATATTGAACCAAAGCAAAAATAAAACCAGAAAAAACATGAAACTAATCAAATTTCTCAGTATCACTAGGACTAGACTAAGACATTAAAAGAAAAAAAAGATAAGCCTTGTTCAATTCCAAGTATGCAAAATCAGAAACAAAGAATAAAACTGGTTTTACACCGCAGAACCTGAAACTAGTCTCTCTTTCTGGGAACATGACAAAGCATAAATGAATTTAACTTTTAGGACTGCAGCAAAACTAGATAATATATTTTAAAGGGCAATTTAGGAGTAGGTATATGGAAAAAGAAAAAAAGATTACCCATGGAAGGATTGCCAAGAATTGTTATTTTGGACTGGCCCACCTGTAGTCCTTTTTCACATATGCTCTGAACCTAAATAAACAAAACATGTCATCTTGCAGTCACATTACATTAAAAATGTGGAAAGATAGTCTATAAACTCATTTTAAGTAAAATCCAAGCTTCTAAACTATATTTTTACACTACAGAAATTATAAATATACATGCTAGTTTACTCATAACAACTAAATATCAGTGTAAAACTGGTTTAAATTTCCAATGTAACCATAGTTGAAATCTATTTTTTGTTTATGCCAAGTCGGACAGATACTCAGAATTCATGACATTCGTTTATATAAGCATTCCCTTTTAGGGAGAATTAGAATTGGCAAAATATTTGAGAGACAGTAACTCCATCTAAACACCAAAGGAGAAAAAATAGTTCTCAGCACATATAATCTGCAATAGAGAAGATAATCTACTTTTTTTGGTCTTTATTTTTAGGAAGAGGATAATTGCTTTACAATAGAATGTTAGTTTCTGCCATGTATCAAGATGAAAAAACCATAGGTATACATATGTCCCCTTCCTCTCAAATCTCCCTCCCACCTGATAATCTACTTTAATAAAAGGAAAAGTATTTATTATCAATTACATTTGGGGGGGGAATAGCTCTGATCAAAGAAAAAAATGAACATATCTGAAAAACAAATCACAAAACAATGAAATACTTTGCGCTACTAAATCACTTTTCCAGTTATACATCAACAAATTGTTTATAAAAATCAAGTGTACTGAATAACTGCAAATTTAGTAACTTACAATGCAAACATTTTCAAATTATTTTTTATAAAATGAGTTCACTTACCTTATACCGATCAACCATCAGAAATGCATAGGATTCTGAAAGTTCTTTATCTAAACGACCATCAAACTTCAGCTCTCTTCGCTTTTCTGTAAACTAAACGAAATTAGATCTGTAACAATGCCTTAGCACGCGTCTGTGTTTCTCAAGTGGAGAGTCTCAGGAACCCTATTTCTCAGGAATCCAGAGCAGCACTTCTTCGGTGGTCCAGTCATTAGGACTCTGCGCTCCCACTGCTAGGCACCCGATTATGATCCCTGGTCCAGGAACTAAGATCCCACAAGCTGTGAGGCGCAGCAAAAGAATTCCAAACCTACCGAAATGGAAATTATCTTTTCTCTCCTTGAAATTTCTGCACTTCATTTTTCCCTCATTAGAATTAGCTCTTTAGTCTTAAAATATAGTCAGATAAGCCTCTAGTGCTGAACAATTTTAGCTAAAATTCTATTAAAATCTTACCACACTTTTTTTAAGAGCTGCCATGGGTCTTCGATGCTGCCACGGGCTCTTTCTAGTTGTGGCGAGTAGGGGCTACTCTTCTAGTGGAACTTCTCTCTGCAGTGGCTTCTCCTGTTGCAGAGCACAGGCTCTAGGGCACTCAGGCTTCGGGAGCTGTGGCTCTCCAGCTCTAGAGCAGCTCAACAGTTGTGGCACATGGGTTTAGCTGCCTCATGGCATGTGTGATCTTTCCATACAAGGGATCGAACTTGTGTCCCTCTGCACTGGCAGGCTGATTCTTAACCACTGGACCACCGGGAAGTCCCTCCCATAGATTTTTTTTTTTTTTTCCTCCCATAGATTTTTAAGTTCATATTTTGATTATCTTTGGATTTCTCGTTTTATCTGACATGGTGCATAGCATATAGTTGTTTTCATTGCTGAGTGGTGTCTGATTCTTTGTGACTACATGGACTGTAGTCCGCCAGGCTTCTCTGTCCATGGGATTTCCCAGGCAAGAATACTGGAGAGGGCTGCCATTTCCTTCTCCAGGGGATCTTCTCGACCCAGGGATCGAACAGACGTCTCCTGCATTAACATGCAGATTATTTAACACTGAGCCACCAGGGATGACCCACTGCATATAGTAGGTGGCTTAATAAATCTTTGTTTAATGACCACTTCTAGACTATAAACCCAATTACAACAAGGAAAAATGTTTCATTTCTTTGCTACTGTATTCTCAGTGCCAAGTACATAAGCCATGCTCCATACCCATAAGAGTGACTTGATCTAAGTACATCTGAACTGTAAGTCACCCTAAACTGCTAGCGTTCACTTTTAGACACATACAGATATGAGCCTGTATCTAACATTTACATGCAATATTCAGGCTATTACTGATCTTCAATAATATAATGAAGTTTTAGACTAAATTTTCATATGAATTAACAAATAATCCCTATCATACCATGAAACCACATCAAACTACCAAGGTTTTAATTTTCTCTGGGAGCCAGTAACATTTAGTTACTTTAGGGATCCTTTCAAAGTTAAATACTGACAGCACTGGATTAACCAACTGTAAAAGCACAAAATTAATAGCATTTCATGTACATTAGAAAGCAGTATACACAACATTTGTATACTTGTATACAAATGTATACTTGTATATTTGTATTTGTATACAAATATGTCATTTGTATTAACTCCAAGATTATTATGGCTTTTCCTAAACCAAAACTCAAACAGTATTCTAATCTGTACATGAAACTTTAATTCACTACCTAAAAGGCTCAAATACTCCCCTTTGTTCTCACTTTCTCACTAAGAATTTCTACTAATGATATTAAATCAAATTCAATTACCTGGCAATAATTAAGGGAAAAATTAAACATATCCTAAAAATAAATGCACATTTTATTTCATTAACCTTGGAACCTAAGACACAACACACTCTTGGAGATTCCACTTAACTAATATGCTTGAAAGATCAAAAAGCCTTCTGATGAATTTACAATGATGCCATTAAACAGTAAGTTATCACTATGCTTAAGATTCATTTTCAGTAAAAGAAGTTATTTTATACAATCACACAGTAACACACAGATAAATGCAGTGCAACATCAATAGTGTTTAGAGGAAAAAACATGTCATTTAAAACTTGTTTTTCCCTTTCATAATTTGGCTTTCCAAAGAACTTCAGCATTTTTTTAAAAAAAGTAAAACAAATACCAGGCTATTAACTAGTTCTGAAGAATCTTACAAAAGGCACAATCTAAAACATACCTCCTTTTCCAAAAGCTCGTTGTGTATCAAGCAAGCACGCCTGTAGTTAAAATTTGCTACTGAAGTTGGTTCAAGGTAAGATGAGTGGAGAATATTTAAAACATCTTCAAATTCCCGAGAGCCTGGAGTTAATGGCTGAAAAAGTGCTAAAATGAAAAACAGTATTAATTTTAAAATTCCATCTGAAAAGTAGTTTCTTATATTTTTGTGGCTTTAATATAACTTTATAAATAGAGTGAAAAAAATGATCAAGGCTATCTTATTTTGTGAAGTGCAAAAGACAGTTAATTGAAGAAAAAGTCTAGCTGCCTATTACTTGGGTGTTTTGTGATATGTAAAAGAAATACTGATTAATTCATTGAAGAAAAAACTATAGGAATGAGCATCTGGCATTACACATGCAGAAAAGGAAGCTACAATTTGGCAAAACTTAGCAGATGCTACACTAGGCAACCTAAACTACTTAAAAGATGTCTGTGTGTATTACTCAAAAGAAACTGTGCATAAACTCAAATTACCTCAACTCTTATTTTATGTTACACATAAGTAGTATGTCTAGGACCATTTATTTCAGCAAATTAAATGCTTACGCCATAAGTAGAAGCATAAGAACACTTAAGACATTTAGGTGTCTATAGAATAAAATTATTCTATCTGGTTTTTAAAACTAAAGTTAGAATAACATGCTGCATCCATTACCTTCTTGCATTACCAACATAAAGTAGGAGGGTATTTACTACGAAAACTTGGTGAAATGGAAAGATGTGGGACTTTGGAGTCAAACCTGGACACAAATAGCAGCTCTAGTATTTACTGGCTTTGTGAGAGACTCCAGGCAAACCAACTTAACCAAGTAAGCTCATTACTTTCTTCAGTAAAAAGGAGAACGCGAGCTATCCTAATAACCACTACGATGCCATACACCATATAAGACAACACTTGGGAAAAGCTCTAAGCACAGCATCTGGTGCAAACTAAGACGGTGAAAGTTTTTATTCCCCACTTGGCCAACTACTACACACTTCCTTTACTTAAAAAAAAAAAAACTTAAATAGTTAATCTGTTCTTCAATCAGGAGGCTAATAACCTCAAATTTCCACTTTGTGGATGAAATAATTTGACTTATAAACTTCAAACATCAAGTCTACATATATGTATACATTTTCCCCAAACCAAAAATAACCACTTTCACTGTTATTCACAGAACAGATGTTATATGCTATTACCTTAATTTCCTTCAAGATACTATTTATAAAGAACCAATAAATATCAATCAAAATACCTTTAGGCCACTACTGGAAACAGTGTTCCACTTGAACTAAAGAGTAGCTGTTTCTACTGTATTCTCTATTCAGTTATTAAGCTTTAAAGAACATACTGTCAAAGGATATAGCCATTCATTTACCAAACAATGCATATATCACAAAAGTTTCTGTAAAAGCAGTAGCTTTCAATGAGAGAATGTGTGCAGAACAAATGATTCCCACTACTTCAGAATTACACACTAAAAAAGCAAGGGGTGGATATAAAATCAACATTACTTATAATAATGCAACAAAGACAACAGGAGTAAACGGGGGGAAAAACACTCAAAAAGAACTATTACATGCAAAAAAGTGTCCTATAATCAACTTTCCAGCAGATGGATACACGCAATAATCTATTCATCACAAGCTCCACGAGGAGCTGGAACGCCTTCTTCCTTCCCTTTACTTGGGGCACTGGCCCCAAGGTGAATAAATGAGGAAGCGAGTAAAAACAAAAAAGATAATAAAATTTGTCCAGATTTTTTTTATACTAAATACAAATTCTAAACTACCAAAATATGATTGTTGTCATTGTAAATTAGGTCTCACAAATTCAACAACTCAGTGATTTTATAAAGTAAAATGAAAGCTCAAGAAACAGCGAGAAATCCATTCTCTCAATTCAAATCTGTTTTACAGAATGTTGCAGGAGAAAATGTTTTATCTTTGTGTCTATCCCCAACTAAACTGGAAAAACTTGTGAGGGAAAACAGCATGTGGAGTAGTTTTTGGAGGCTTTCACATACAAAATAACCCAACCATGATTTTTAAAGTTGCATTTTATACATGATTATGTTTCTAAACTAACAAGTGCCTTCAGGTATCTAAAAATGTGACAAAAAAGTATCAAGTGGCTTTAAATTTCTATATTTTACTAATCTACATAAAAGAAAATATTTTTTGTTAAAGATATTACAACACTATTTCCACCATCAATCTAACCAAAAGTGAAAGATATCAGTTAAATCATAAAAATGTATATAGAAATTAACTCTCAAATCACTCTCTAAAAAGTACTTAACATTTGTTTCATTCCAAAGCAATGTCCTAGAGTCACCTCAAATGTACTCAAGTAGTCTGCCAACGTGAAAACACTTTTTTTTTTCCAGAAAAAGGTGCAAGATTTTAGGTCAAACAAGAAATACTTGTATCCTAAGTATTTCAAATGTCTCAACTGGCTTTAGCAGTTAGGCTAGAGTTATAATTTCTATTTTTTATTCCCAATTATCACTTTCTAGAAGAATAAAATTTTGCTGTAACTATTTTTAAAGGTTTCAAGTCAATGCGCTAGTAATGGTAGTTTAGAAATAGAAAATGTTCTGAAAGTACATTCCCTGGTGGTCTATTTGTCTTTAAGAACCACTGAAGCATGTATGTGATCAACACATCCTGTCACTTCTTTTAAAGAAAACATATAGATGTCACAGTATCATCATCTGAGGCAGTAATAAATCTAAGACTACCCAAATGGGGAACAGAACATTTTATATATTAATTTTATATATTAATCACCCATAAGGAAGTCAGTATCCAATAAAACATTCTCCAGATTCTGACAATTTTTGAGTCTAACCATTAATGGCTCATTATTCCTTTTCGGGTATGTATAATAGCTTTATACACATTATCTCATTTAATCACCAAAACCACCCAAGGAAGTTCATTATGGCTACTTCACAAATGAAACTGAGCTAACACTTAACTGGGCCCAAGGTTAATGTATGAATAGGGCAGGTGGAATTCAAAGTAGGCTCCCTAGCTGCAAATCCTACATCCTGAACGGTAAATAAAAGATGTAAATGGGCATATAAGAGCTGAAACCAATCATTCCAAGAGCTGGAAAAACAGAATTATTTCCTTATTTTAGATCAAGAAATTGTATTAGCTATATGGATACTAGCTATAAGAAAAAAAGAATTTGATGTCTAGCATATTCTTTCTACCCTCTTTTGTCTACTTTTAAATCTTTTTTTTAAATCTTATTTCTTAATATTTGTCTCATTTAATGCATTTAACAGGATCAAAAGCCATAACAACCTTTTTTGGTTTATAGAGGTTAACCAACAGCAGTCATAATTCTTCCAGACATTAAGGAATACATAATTTTGCTCATGTACAGGCTTTCCAACAAATCTGTTATCAGAAAGATAAGTTACTGAGTTTACTTCTGATATTAACAAGGTTTCTCTACTGACAAAATGGATTATGAATGTTTCATCATTTCTTTTCCCCTCCTTTCTGGCCACACCACGTGGCATGCAGGATCTTAATTCCCCAACCAGGAATTGAACCTGTGCCCCTGCAGTGGATGCAGTGTCTTAAGCACTGAATCACCAGGGAAGTCCCTTTTATAGATGTGTTTTTATGGGATTCAGGGAAAGAGAAAGGTACTTGGAGATATATAATTCAAATAAGGAAACGGATTATACCATCAAATCAGAACTAGAATATTTTATATTATTTGTAGCATACAAAACATAGTAAACATACTAAGAATTCAATGTTAAATTTAAGGAACTGGAACAGACATAAATTTAAGATCATCAAATAGCTTTGTTCCTCAGCCAAATAAACTTTTTTCAACTACTTTTATTAACTTATTTAGTATCAATGCCAATCTTTGTGTTTGTATTAAGATTATGTGAATGTAAAAAATATATACATATATACCTAAGTGTAAAAACAAGCTAAACTTTTAAAATAAGATGGACCAATATGATAAAAATATACCAATGGAAAATATAAAATATATATTTCAACTTACAGTAATTCATGGAAGAAAAGGTAATATGAGTAGGCTGGCAATCACATTGGTCTGCAATTTTCTCTGAATCCAAGTCTGATGTCTACTAACGACTAAAATACAATGAATATCCATTTGTTCCTCACAACAGTTTATTTTAAAAATCACTTTTCTCCAGTCTAATAAAATTACTAGACATAATACTATAGGAATGGAAGATTCATCTCTAAATCACAACTGAAACATTAAGTGTAAAATTAAGAATGAACATTCTAGCAGAAATCTAGAGATAACAAACATGAAACTTGACCTTTTTGGACTGGGGAATATGTCAAAGAGTTTTTACCTCCATTACTTACAATTTGTATGATCCTATCAAATGTTTTATGTGAATGACTGAATTCTGCCTATACTTTACTGCTTGGAATACTTCTACCAATGGAAACCTGTGGTACTTGGAAACAAGTCATTCATATAAAACTTTAAAACATCATGCAAATTTCCTGAAGACACTTAATCCAAAGTCTTCAAAAAGATAACTCCAAACTTTGTGGGAAAAGATGGGGACGTGGGAGGAGAATTGGTCATTAATTCTCCTAAACTAGACCAGTATGGACACAAATGCATGAGATCATTTAGTTTGTGATGCATCTCTTGCAGGTGCAGGAGAGCAGTTAATCTTGTTCCCTACATAAAGCACTAACCAATAAACATTTCCCAGAAAGTCAATCATCACTAGTCACTTCCTAAGAATTTTGAAGAGAAAAATTGTGTCAAATACAGTTACTGATTTTGAGGACTTACACTACTAGATTCTTGAGTAAAAGAAGGCAACAGGGAAACACCCACTGAGGAAATGCAATTCCACAATTTGGTAAAATGTAACAGTGCCTCCTTATAGTGCAGAGAGCAGCCTGTCCAGTAAGTAAAAAGAATTAACAATCATAAAGAGTAAAACTTTACTCTAGTCAACGTATCACTTAATCTGTCAGTACTGTTTACATGTGTTAATTTTATAATGAACATAATTTGTCAATCTGAAAATTCCCCAGGATGAAAACATACTAAACATCACTAAATTTAATAGGTGTTAATTTTTTTAAAAAAACAAACCGTAACTTTTCTATAATGAAAAAGAAATAAGTATTTTATGCCTAGGTTCAAATTTCAACTCCACTTTTTACTAGCTGTGTGACCTTGGGCGAGTTATTTACCTCAGTAGTTCACTTTCCTCATCTGTAAAATGGGAATAGCACCTACCACATAGGATTACTTAGATTTAATTAACACAAACTGTTTAGAACAGCGCCTACAACTTCCTAAGCACTATGAAGTGTTTGCAATATTATCACTTAATTAGAATGGCAGTATTTTAGATGTTCTGCTACTGTGAAGACAAAGATACGGCAAGTTCTACTTACAAAAGTTTATCTTTAAGCTACCAAGAATACAAGTCCTAATCTTTATTTTTACTGGAAAAGCAGGCACAAGCAAAGGCTTGCCATATTAAAATACAAATGCAACAGAATCTTTGATACAGAAAAGTTCAAGAAGAGGTATCTAATATTCATGATAAAAGACTCATATGACCAGCATGAATACCTAGCCAAATTCTTTACGTAAGTGTTACCTTTCAAGTCTTCCAAGAGGGTATTATTTGGGGATCAAGTGTGAAACTAGCAGAACCTACTACACTGTTTTTGATAAAGCTGTTTTTTTTTTTTTATGAAAAGTTGGATTTTTCTATGAAATTCCATCACCAAGTATTAATTTCCTTCACGTTAGGGAGGATGAAGTCCACGATGGTAAAAAGCTGCTTATTTAAGTTTTAAAAGCTCTATTTAAACTGCTACTGCACTATTTGAACAGCTGCTGCTTGGTGTAGAAATATTTATACAAGTTAAAAATTATTCATTTTCATTAAACATGAAAAAAGTTTACGTGTTATATTTTCCTTACCAAAACCTTCCTGATAGAGAGGAGAAAGGTAACAGCCTCTGCCTCTAAGTGAAAATGTAAAATATAAATTTTCCCCAAGGGAGCATGAGACTCTGGTGAGAAAATGAGGTTTTATACTTCTTAATTCCTCAATTACATCTTTTAGTGTGTTCAAATGAAGTCTATTTTAGAGCAGCCTCTGAACATATTAAAAAAAAAACCACACACACACTTGCCAACAGTTCCTAGTGCCATCCCACATTCCAAACAGATCAGGAGTTTTAGGCCAATTTTCTGGTCCTATGAGAAGTTAAAATGAGGTACATCGTGCGTTATGTTTTGGTTAAAACTTTTTAGAAAACGGACTGCAAAACTGTATCAAGCTAAAAAAAAAAATTAAAACAGGAAAAAGTTCAAGCTACTATTTCAACCTTACAATCAAGAGTCCATCCAAATCTACTCTTAACCTATTCTCTACCAATTTATAATTGAGGCTGAAATTTAATTTTCCTCTTATTGACTATATATCTTAACTAAATAAACCCAAACAATTGATGATCCTGACCCTTAAAGAATCCTCTTGAACCCTGAAATCTATTACATTAACTCAAAAGATATTTCTAGAAACAGTCCTCATGCTAGCGGAGGTAACTTCATCCTTCTCAGCCTGGTTTCTCACACCAAGAATTCCCTTGGCTTTCTCATCCAAACAGAAATTAACAACTTAACTTTTTTGTATCTTACTGACAAAAGGCTATCAATTTCAGCTGTGCAAATGTAGCGGTTGTGCACGTGCAGAGGAAGCACATGCTTCATTCAAGATTCTCCTTACCAAGACTCACGCTACAAACAAAAAACGTTTCCTACAAATAAGAAAATTCCTGTTACTTTCCAAATAAATCTGAAAAACGGAACCACGCACTATAACAGGAGGAGGAAAAAAAAAACCAAAAAACCCCGCTTTAAATTGACTAAATCCAGGCAGAGCACCCCAAATCACTGGATGGTCAAAAATTGTATTCTAAAAACAGAAAACGGTAATTTCCTCCATGAGACAGGTGTCACAATATGGCATAAAATTTTAGAAACGTTACGTTGTTAATGTAACTGTTCCCATTTTTGTTCCACGAACCAGACTGGATCTCTCAAAAAAATTTTCCTGAAGTTCTCTCATTTGCATAATCAAGTCGGTGACTCTTGGGCAAAAGCTCACCTCCATTTTTTTTTATAGGGAAATTACTGCACCAAGAACCTACCTTCCCCATCTTTTCGAATACAACGAAAAACAAACTAAGGCTTGGATTTAGAGAGCCCTATCTAGCGCTTCAAAAACAGGGCGGGGGAAAAAAAACTACATGGAAATGAAGTGTGATGGAAAACAGCAGTGTGCATGAATCACATCTAACGGAGATTTCTAAACAAGGGAAGACGCTGACATCGATCAAATTTCAAGTAGACACAGGGCTGAAGAATTTCCACAGGGAGAAGCGCTTGTGGTCCTCACAATGCAATGGCCTTGGAGAAAGCCCCAGAATCCATGGCCACGGGTTATTTCCACAGTGAGACTTCAGAAGCATCTTTAGAGGAGGACACATCAGCTTCTCTGCCTTCAAGGGCTGGGAAGGAGGGGCGCCGAGCACCATCTTTCCTCTCTGGGAGCTGCAGCCTTACGGACAAGCTTCAAAACTGAGCTACTTCCAACTTCCACGGGGAGAGAGGGAGCAGGGAGCGTGATTCCACCGCTTTCCTCTCGCACCAAGCGCAGCAGCTGGGCGGCCGAGGCTGTGAGGGGAGAGGCGGCTGGCGCTGCATGCGTGTTTACGTGTCTCGGATGGGTGTGGGAAGGAGACAGAGAGGTTCTAATGAAAAGATGGAGGGGAGAGAGAAAGAGGGGTTGGGAAAGAGGGGAAGCACCACCTTTCTTTTCTCTGCTCTTCCTGGGGATCTGAAAACTCCTCCTAATGGGTCTTTCGGGCTCTTCGGGGCCTTTGGGCAGTGCAGCCGCGCCCGCATCAGAGGAGTCCTGAGGCTGCTCGTGGCAGAGGCTCGGGGCGGCCTCGGAAGCCGCGGTCTCCTCAGGCCCGGCGCCGCCGCCGGGCTCCGCGATGCTGAGGCCGCCGCCATTTTGTGGGGAGGACTCAAGCTCCGGAAGCGTCTGCTTCATCTCGTCGTCGCCGCCGCCGCCGCCACTTTCCCAGTTCGCGTCCGTCGGCGGAGAGACCTCCACCTCCGCAGCAGTCGCCATCGCGCCGGCGTGAGGAGCTCCGGCAAGCTTCGGCCGACAAGGTCGACGGGGGTGGGGGGAAGGGGCGGCGGGCCGGCCTCGCCGCCAAGCTGCTCTCAGCCCACCGACCCCCTTCCCCCCGTGGCCGCAGGCCGCTATCCCCGCCCAGCAGCCTCTCGGGAGCCCTAAAGCGGGCGCCCCAACCGTTCCGCCTGGCCCCGGGAGCCGCTCCTCGCTCGGGCAGTTCTTCAGCCGGCCCCCGCCACTCAACGTGCTGGCGTCGGGGCCTGGAGGGGCGGGGCCATCACGGAGCGTTCCGCCAATGAGGACGCGGCGCCCGCCTCCGCGGGTGCGGATAGACGGCGCCAGGGGGCGGAGTCTCGGAGCGCCCGAGCCCGCCAAAAGGGGCGACCGCCACACCAGGAGAGTACCTCGACGCCGCTCCCGGCTGCGGGTTAGATGGGTCTCCCGGCGAGCTGCGAGTTCCGGAAACGCGTTCGGCAAGTGCTCCAGGCGAGGGAGGCGTGCGGCGCCAAGTCCTGGGAACGCAGGCGTCGCCTCTTTCTGGGCAAGATTACCTCGCTTCTCCCCGCAAGACTTGTATCGGCCAGAACCGGATAGAGGCAGTGGTTGTGGGATGACTCCGGCTTTGTTAAATATTTGCATGCATATATAAAGGCTTGAAGTGGTGATATGATAGTGACTGCAGCGATAAGAGCCTGAAAGCCACGGGGGCCCGCTTCAGTGACCTGTTAGTCCCACTGGATCTTATATTTTTACAATTGATTACTTCCACCCGCCCACCTATTTTTATCTAGAAGGGTTAGACCCAGTGGCACGCCTCCAGCAAGCTGTAAATTCCTTGGTCCTTTGATTTGACTTCACAGACTAATGTTAACAGGATTTGGTTCTGGGGAGCTTGAGAAGGGCTGCTGGCTTTTAGATTTTCCATTGCTGTTTCAGTTTTCCTATAGCTAGTCTATATTAAAGAAAAATATAAACATTTGCAGCTACGTTAAAAGATACACAGCAAGCGATCGTCTTACCTTAAAACAACTAGACAATCAAGTTAGAAGGCCTTTTAAATAGCTTATGCTGGTTAGGTTGAAACTTTGGGCAATGGTGAATACAGAAATTATTTCTTGCGTTCTTTCTATATGCTAGGCACTGTACCTAGCGATTTGTATATACTATGTTCATTAAATCCTCACAACAACAGATGTTAGGGAGATGCTATTATGCACAATTTAAAATAAGTGCTGCAGTTAGGAGTATGGGATTAATAGATACACTACTATATATATCAAATAGATAAACAAGAAGGATTTACTGTATAGCACATGGAATTCAATATCTTGTAACCTACTACAGAGAAGTACTGTAAATCATACAGTTCATTTACTACAGTTGTAAATCAACTATAGATAAGAGATAAAATGTTGCAAGACAGAACAAATTTTAATGAAAATCTGAAGCCAGGTCTATTTAAATAAAGTACTAGCCCTTGCTTGTTTTTTTTTTTTTTTGCTTTTAATTGGAGGATAATTACTTTCCAATATTCTGTTGGTTTCTGCCATACATAAAAATGAATCAGCCATAGGTATACTTATGTCCCCACCCTCTCGAACAACCCTCCCACTGCCTGCTTCTCTTAAGATCTAATATTCACAGCAGCTCTGTATCTTTATGCATTTTATATATGGAGAAATGAGGATTGATATTTTGCTCCATCTCCAAGCAGTAGGATCAGGATTGGGACCCATACCTCTATGCTCAAACTCCGGGAGTTGACCAAATGTATAGTGATAATAAAACCCTAGGGCTTGCCACGTGGCTGCTACTTAAAGAGCATTCCTAAGGACAATAGCAAAATTGGATTCCAATGTCCTGTGATAAATATCATATCTGTTTCACAGCTTATAGGAAAAGCTGCTCATGACTTGCCCAACCTATTTGAATCAGCTAGGTATATCATAGGAAAGTGAATATAATATAAAACAATTATTCCTCTTAGTTAATGTAAAAACACATTTTAAAATACTGATAAAAATACTAGGGCCAAGCTGACACAAAAATGCTACGTTATTTTAAGTTAAAAGTTACCCTTGAAGTTGGGAGGAAGAGGCTTTACTTGATAATAGAGGCTACAGGAGATCAGAAACTCAGGTGTTATGGTCTCTAAAAGATAACTTTGTTGTTGGTTCATTAATGTGAAGTCGTTCAGTCATGTCCGATTCCTTGTGACCCCATGGACTGTAGCCCACCAGGCTCCTCTGTCCATGGGATTTTCCAGGCAAGAGTACTGGAGTGGGTTACCATTTCCTTCTCCAAGGGATCTTCCCAACCCAGGGATCGAACCCAGATCTCCCACATTGCACGCAGATTCTTTACCATCTGAGCCACCAGGAAGCCATATGCATGTATCAATAGATACCCAGTATGTCCATGGGGCTGGGGGGTTAAGGGTAATACCAGTAATACATAAGGTTCTGAAGCAAGAGCTACGGAAGGTTAAAAGACATAAAATCTACATTGTCCCCTACCCTCTTCTGTTGCTGCTGCTGCTGCTGCTGCTGCCAAGTCGCTTCAGTCGTGTCCGACTCTGTGCGACCCCACAGACAGAAGCCCACCAGGCTCCTCCATCCCTGGGATTCTCCAGGCAAGAACACTGGAATGGGTTGCCATTTCCTTCTCCAGTCCCTTACCCTCAGTAACAGACAAAACACCACCGCAGAGATAACCTGGAGAACAGTGAGGCAGTATATAACTAAATATGCAGGGACCACAATTGCCATTTTACATTGAAAACAGAAAAAAAAAAAATCCAGTTCAACTCTTCATTCTAAAAATAGGAGGGACTTCCCTGGTGGTCCAGTGTCTAAGATCCCACACTGCTAACGCAGGGGCCCCTGTTCCATCCCTGGGCAGGGAATTAGATGAACAAACGCTGTAACTAAAAGATCCCTCAGGTTACAACAAAGACCCACCTCAGTGCAGCCAAATAAATAAACAGCCTTTAAAAATGCACCACTTAACTAAAAAACATTTTTAAAAGAAGGGAGAAGGGGAGAAATACATTAGGAGTTTGGGATTAAAATATTCACACTATATAAAACAGATAACCAACAAGGATCAACTGTATAGCCAGGGAACCATACTCAATATCTTATAATAATTTATCATGGAAAAGAAATCTAAAATAAAGCGTATGTGTATGTACATACACGCATATATATCTACACACACACACACACATATAGCTGAATAACTTTGCTATACACCTGAAACTAACATAACAATGCAAATCAAAAACATTTCAATATAAATTTTTAATTAAAACATTAAAAATACATATATAGAAGATCATGCTGGAAGCTGTTGTTGTTATTACCCAATTTTTCAACCAAGAGTGCAACAGCAGTATCTTAAAAATCATCCAGAAAACCAACACAGAGATTCTAGAAGGATCCCTGTGTTTCAGAACAGAGGCATTAGAAACTCCCTGATGCTGGTCAAATCAACTAGGTAAGTATACAGTTACAGAATTCTCACATAAAAACAAAAACATTAATAACAATACCTTTGAAGTGAACAAAGCCACTAAAAAGATTTGATTCTAATAACAGCGTTAAATATTTGTATTTTTTTCCAGGTAAAAGATGTTATTTGATGCTCACAAGTACCTGCTTCAAGGATACAGGTAGGAGACTTTTTTTTCAAGCTTTCCATTGATCAGCAGCAGGGAAAGATAATAAAGGCCAGTCAACCAACAAAATTCTATAAAGCAATTATTCCATTAAAAAGTAAATAAAAATTTTTTAAATCCACAAGAAAAATAAATAAAGGCTATTCAACAAAACCACCACTAATCTAGCTCATAGAACCTTAGGGAGATTAAATCAGTTCAATTTGTTCATTTTGTGAATAAGGTCAGTGCTATAAGCCTACAACTCCACTGCCTATTCAGATGCATTAAAAACGTATGAAATTGCCATTCTTTCCCTTATGCTTGAGCTACAAAAATAATCTTCCATGGAATCATCTTCTTTCCCCCAAAGAACTTACATTACTCACTGAGCAGATATTTACTGGGAGTGTCCCAAGGAAGTATAAGACCCTGGCAACAAACTGGGTTAAAATTCATCATGGTTAATGTCTGGGAGGAAAGACGTCCATGCAAAGAAGAGAAGGCACAAAAGGAATCCTCAGAAATAAGAATAAGCTTAGGGATGAACTTGCATGTGAGTAGCCTTTCAGTTACACAGCTGACTCTGGTAACCACACATCTCAACTAAACCAGGGGTCCAGAGCTGTTACTAAGGTTTGTTTTGGTTTCATTTCTAAGACTTTTTTTTTTAATTGATTATACTTCAATTGACCTACAACACTATGTTAGTTCCAGGTGTACAACATAGTGATTCGCTATTTCTATACATTACAAAATGATCACCACTTTTGTCATTTGAGTCAAACCCATCTAAGATTTCTGTTACATGTAATACCATGAATGAATCTCACAGGCATGATGTTAAGTGAAAATAAGTCAGACACAAGAGTATATACTGCATGATTCCATTCACATGAAGTACAAGGGCAAGCCAAAAATAGTCCATGATAATAAAAGTCAAAACAATGGTTCCCTTATGTGTCTGTAGCAGGGAGGTATGTAAGGAGGTGCTGAGTCAAAGGAGATGTGAAAGAATTTTTGAAACAATAAAAATATTCTATATCTTGATTTAGGTGATAGTTAGAAAGGCAGTACATTTATATATATATATATAAATATTTATGGAACTCTACATTTGAAACTTGTGTGTTTCACTGTATGATGTTGTTTTTCAGTTCAACAGCGACAAAAAAACCAGAAATGCTTCTGCAGGTTCTCATTATTCAAGGGACAAAGATAAGAATTCTTCATGGGGCTTAGAGAGTCCTGCTAATCCTGACCCTTTTCTACTTTCCTCTCCACTCGTGTTCCCTAAGCTCCTCCGGGGTGCTTCCTCCTTCTGGCCCCCCAGCTG